GATGTTATTTTCGAAATAAAACAGTTATAAATTTTATAATATGAGTACTTAAGGCCATATCATGCTTATTTCTAAACAAACTTTTTTATTATTTTTTTTATATTTTATTATTGCTTCATTACTTAAAATATTCAGATTTCTACACAGCAAAATTTTTTTTAATACGAGCAGAGCTAGTTTTTTATTATTATCTCTGACTCAAAATATTATTTTAATAATACAATATGTATACTAAGTCAGTGTCACTGAAACCTGGGTTATGTATATTTTAATATAATATATTTTTCGAATAAATGTGAATTTGTCAATGTGAAATGTTATATTATGTATTATATTATTACGTTAATAGCAGTAAAAATGACCAGCAACACACTATAATTAGCAAGTAAATGAACAAAATAGGTAATTAGGACACTTGAAAATTTTGAAAGTAATTTAATTTAACTAGTGCCGTTAGTAGTGCAAAATGTCACATGCTAATGATTTACAATGTACAGTCGCATGCGATATATTTTGGTTGCCAATGTCATTTTTTGACAAACTTACGAGTATTTTTGTATAATTTAAAATCCAAGCCATAATGTTTAACGTTTAAACTACTTTTGACTTTTTGACAAAGAAAAATCAATTATAAAAGGTAAATTACAAAATTTCTTTCGTAAAAAAATATTTTTTTAAAAGTAAAAACGCTTAAGCGCGAAAATAGGATTTCTGCTCTGATAGGTAAAACTTTTACTTGTGACAGTCATAAAAGTGGTCACATTTTTGACGTTTGGATAAAATATTTTTCGTACAGATTTCAATTAAAGAGTGATACGAATTTACCTAGTGTACTTATTGTAATGTTAATATCTTTTACGAGGTTTTTTAAATAACTAAAATATTGTCAAAGCATTTATGTATGTAGTTACTCAAATGATTACATTATTTAACTTTTTACGAGAACCTTAAAAAAAAAGAAAGCCTTAGTTTTAGTTATTTATTTTTTTGGAATTTTTTACTCTATCTGTTTCAACCATGTTTTATAAAAAAAAAAACAGTTTAGGGGAGTCCTTTTATTCTGAATATTTTAATATTAGGGGTAAGTCTTACAGATTTTGCGTTATTTGATAAATGAATTGTCCATTTGTGTTAAATTCGGGATTTCAACGGTTTGTGTAGGCTTATTACCTACACAACAAAGGCCACATTTTAAACAATTATTTTTGTTACAAGTACCTGAAATACAGTTTTTGCGGACGAATGGTTGCTGTTTCCGGACAAGGCGAAGCCGAGTATCTAAAGTAACTATTTTACGTACTATTACATTGCGTCCGGAAAAGACTTATTTTAGGGACTTAAATAAGTCCTTAAAACTACTGTTTTTAGAAGAGTATACAAAAAAACTATTATATTCCATCAAAAATTGCATTTGAAAATAAATAAACGCTGCAAAAGAAGAACTTTAAAGTGTTCTTTCTATGTGATTACAAAAAAACATTATAATAAAAACAATTTTGCTAGTAGTCACCAAAAATTTAAATTTCACTTTTCTTAAAAATTGCAAAAATGGACCCTCATCGTTTTTCTTCTGAACCCTTCAAAAACATTTTCAGATGCTACAAATAAGGTTTTTTTAATTGTAATATTTTATTTTCTTAGTCAAGAATCTGTTGCAAATATTTCAATTTTAACAATCCTGGTAAAATTAGGTAATCTTGCTTGTAACTTCTCTTCTGAAGATGTATTAGATAATACAAAATCGTAAAGGTTTAAACCTAATTATTATTTAGTGTAAGAAGATTACTGAAATCTTATTTTTTTGTCTCGGTTTAATTTTTTTTGAAAAATAACCTTTGGTATTTAAAAAAATTCTCTAACAGTCAACGACGTCATATTCCGTTTACCTGTTTATTTTTGGATTGCATTTATTACACAGTGGATGGTTTTATTATAAACTTGTTAATATAATAAAGCACTTGTCTATCACTTTATTGGAAATTTATTCTTGTAATATCTGGCTTGTTGACAAAACTATCGATCGGCGTCCAAAGAAAAATATTTTTTTTATGTCGGTATAGTGCAATCTTTACAGCCATTTTTTTAAAATCAATAAAAACAGGAAGATCAATTTAAAGGTTGGACATTGACTGTTTTAATTTGTGATTCTCACTTTGCTACGCTCGTAAATCCGCCAATAATAAATCACTCTAAAGGGGGTGGCGACATTTAGCTACCCTTTGCTGTTTCAAATACATGTAAATATTTGCTCATTTATTAAAATAATTACTGTGTATTTGAGCTGCACATTTTCCTTTACATTACTGTACATTTGATCCTCTAAATGAAATTCAAATCCTTTTTAATCTTGATGACGTGCAAATCCATAACGTAATTAAGCACACCTCTTTTACCAAATTGTGCAAAACTGCGCAAATTGTTTCGTGGCCAATTAAAACCAAATTTTGTTTTCCTCTAATCTTAATTCCATTATTTGTCTCGAAATATAGTCGAGCAAATAAACGTTTATAATCGATTTTGATTCAATTAAGAGCAGTAATAAACTGGTCACGTTTACACTTGCACGCGATGTTTTAAATCGGTTTTAGATTTGCAGCGAAAATCCGGTTGAAAAAAGTAGCACGTGTTTGCAGTTCCTTGCATATGAAAATTTCAACGATTTTAAATATACAAGAGGGCAGCTTGGATACTTTTACCCTTTAGGCTACGACGTGTCCCTAGATACTTTCCCCCAGAATAAAGTCCCTCGGTTTAATTTTGAAAAACTCATGATGAATAGTGAAAAATGGTGGCTGCGCCGGGTCAACAGTGACTCTTTTTAATTATAATTTGATCACAGACGAGAAAAGTTTTTGGGTTAAAGTTTGAACGATTCAATTTTTTATTACTGCCGACAGGTTGGTAATGACTTTGTTTAAAAATTGTGTTTATTTTCCAGAATTAAGCTTTCAATGCACACCCCTATTCACTCCCCTCGTTGCCATCACAACCAGTGAAAGAATGCAAATTTATATGAAATTTTGATTGTTTTGACGTTGCATATTTTTGAGTTTGCTCTTCGTGAAATCAATCACTGAATTCTTAGAGACATTCTTGTATAAAGTGGTGAAAGATGTTTATCAAAGCTCTCTTTTGATTCACGTGTTTACTAGGGGTGCGCGTCACAAATCGATAAAAATAAAATTGGCTGAATGCCTAATAATGAAGCAGTAATGTAATCAAATGTGGAATGCGTCACTGTTGACGATTGGGCGAAAGGTCAAATAGTCAACAAGAAAAGAGTTTGGCTTTTAGGCTAAAGTTGGCGCATTTGACATTTACCAACGTTGGTAGAATTACTTTAAAAACAACAATGAATTTTGTACCTGGTGTTCAAAAAGTAATGTTTCAGTTAACTGTACTTATTTTCCGTTTTTATTTATTTTTTTTTATTTTATATTTATTATGACAAATTATGGTGATTTGTGAACTTTTATTTTTCTGTAATGCAACGAAATCCATCTCAATTTATTGCCATCTCTTGACTGAATGTTTTTCCATCATTTCTATTTAACATTATTTCATTGTTTAAAAGGAATTATAAAAATCCTTAGTTTATGTCAGTTTTTGACTTTCTTTTATGTTATCGATATGAAAAGTACACATTAATTGAGCAATAATATCGCAATATCGGATAAGTTTACTGGTTATTTTTTTTCATTTCTATTCTGTTGTTATTGTAAATTGAATTGAGGAGTTTTTAAATATTTAGAAGGAATAATATTGACAATAATATCGTTATTTACAAAATTGGATTTTTTGATTATTTTGCGATTAATATTGTTTCCATTACTAATATATTTTATACTGTTTCTAGGGTGAATTTAAGCTTTACTTTTATGTTGCTGTTGCTATAAAATACGTCGTCAATCACAACGTATTTTATAAGTACATAAATACTCTTTATCGCTAACAGTCATTACCATAGCAATTTTTGGAAGTAATCAAACCCACAACACAAATATTGACTATTTTAGGTGAAGGTGAAACTGACAACACAGTTGTTATCAATGATAATTCTTCTAGAGATTTGCAAATTGTTTACATAGATTCTGATCTTCAAACATTTTCATTTGAAAATCCTTCGAATTCAGGAATGAATTATCTGTAATCCGTCAGGTTGTACGTTCAAATAAATAAGTAGAATTTTTACTGCTGGCGATAAAATTCTATATGCAACACGTCAGTAAAGTGTTTTTATCGAACTCGCCTTTTACTCGCTTCGCTCGCTCTGTTCATAATCTCAGACTCGTTCGATAAAGGATCACTTTACTAACTTGGAATATAAATGACTATATCTTGGAATTTTGTCAATTTTGACAAATTTCTTAACACAATTTCTGAATTTAGTAAAATTTCTGATTCATTAGTGCTAGAAAAAAAATTGAAGATAACACAAGTTGTATAGTTTAAAATTCTTGTTGTTCTAATAGCTATAAGAAATGTTTATTTATTATGTGCATAAAATAATAACTATCAAATAAATAAATGAAACCAAAAAAATAAAAATTTGTTTGCCTAATAATAAAAAATAATACTATTCAACTAGCTCTTGCCTCAAGTGAGGTGTTGCACTGTAAGATCTACATTCAAAACGAAAAAATATTTGTAATAATTTGACACTTGTGGTACACATTTATTTAGGACTAAATTAACAATAAAATTGATGCTTTTTACTCAACTTTTTGATTAGTTTCGATTTTGTTTGTTTCTGTTGTTTTTGTAAAGTTTATTTTTTTCAGTGCATTAAGTATTGTTAGGTATTATTTTTCACGTGGATAAGTAATTTTTATTTTCTATATCCTCCTTTTTTTAATGTTAAACTCCTGATCAGCCATTTATATACATTCAAGCCTTTATTTTTTCTCTTTTCCGTATTATTACATTTTCCTCCACCTCGCCTCACACAAATAAACCTCAATTTTCCATACGCTCATTATTCTCATCCTTGCTCATTGTCTATTTTCCGCCCCACTGATCCAACTTTGAAGCTCCTCTCACCATTTCCTGTACCTGATTATCACCAATTTATAAAAAAACTGAAAGAAAAAACGCCTTTTGATATTAGTATTGAAGGTCTGTAAAGTCATTAGTGTATAAAAGCGTCGAAACTACCCCTCGCGTGTGGACTCGCCGCTGCAGTCGGCCACTCAGGACAACGTTATCCTTGCAGGCTGACCAAGTTCATGACTAAAATGGGCCACAACTCGCTATATACAGATCGATCTCGATACACGGCGCCGTCTGACGCTTGATAAAAATTTTAATTCGAAGGGTTTTTCCAAGGGGTGGAATTTGCTATTTTAGAGTAACAATAGGTGTCAGGTGCAGTAAGTAAACACAATCGATTTTTTCGTTCCAGGACGTGGCCTTCATCAACCCTGCCAACGTGGTGTTCGTCTACATGCTGGTGCGTGACCTCGTCGAAGAAGAGATCGAATGCGAGCAGGACTTGCAAGCCGTCGTGTTGACCTGCCTCTACCTCTCCTACTCGTACATGGGCAACGAGATCTCGTACCCCCTGAAGCCGTTCCTGGTGGAGGACTCCAAGGAGAAGTTTTGGGACCGTTGTTTAGACATAGTGAATAGACTGTCATCGAGTATGTTGCGGATCAACGCTGAGCCGGGATATTTCACTGAGATCTTCACCGAGTTGAAGGCTTGCGGGATCGGAACCGTCAATAATATGGCGACGATGACCTGTCAGACGGTACCGGTGGTTCCCTGCAACGCCGGTACCATGGCGGCTTGACGCAAAGAGGTCACTGTAGTTAAATTGACTCTGGCCGAGATGCCCACCGTTCCATGTGAAGTTTAACCATCACCGACACTCTTTTGTGATGGGGGAGCCAGTAGTACTTTGTATGACGGAAAATGTGTTCATGTTTATATTTTCGAGGGGAGATGGCGGCAAATAGGGTGGCTGGAAAAGCGGAAGCACTCAAATAAGTCAAACTGAGGGGTTTTGCAAAGATTACTCAAGGAGCAGGCTTTTTGATGCTCTTATTTTAAAGTCTGGGAACGACTTTTTATCACCAAAAGATAAAAGCAGTGGCGAAACAGTCATTTTTATTACAAAAAATTTGGCGAATTTAGGTCCTTTTACGTTGGTTCATGGAAATAAAAAACAATCAATTCGATCCAAGCTTACGAATTTTTTAAATAAAATAAGATTTCTTTAAAAGTCAAACTATAAAAACTTTTCAAAATTTATCGACCCATAAGCCCTTAACTTTCTCTAATATAACCCAACGTTTCAAGAAAAAAAATATGAAATTTTTAGATTTTATTTTGTTTAATTTTACATCCAAGAGGATGTCCTTATTTTCAAGGTTTTATATGTTTACAAAAGTTTCTGAATTTAGTAAAATTTTTTATTCACAATCACTAATGTAATATGCCGATTACTAACCTTTTTAAGGTTGGGAAACGTCATTATTTCTCATGAAGAGTAATAAATGTTACTCCTCGTGGGTGGTAATATGCAGGATTGCCAACGTTAAAATTACGAAAATACCTGAAATTTTTTCTTTTAAATTGTCAAGTTACGCATAATATTTCGCTAAATTAGTATTCAATTGCTTTTGTAGCAGTTTCTCTTAATTCTTGGGGAGTACATTGCTCCATTTCGACGACTTTAATTCAGATTTACACATTATTTCAATATTTTCTTTGACATTTCTGAAATGTCAAAAATCAAACGTCATTTAGATGGTCTACCACGTTTGGACTTTAACTTTGTTAGAATTTTATTTTACTCAAATTTTTGACTGAAAATAATGTGATTGTGAATAAAATACCATACAATCCTCGGTGGTAATGGCATTACCCCTTGTGCTTTATCCGATCTCGAGGCTAGCGCCTCTCGATCGTATACATAAGCACTCGGGGTAATGCCATATTCACCACCTCGCTTGTAATGTACTATTATTTAATATTAATGTGGAAAAAATTTTTGATTACAACACAAGTTTTAGGTATAGTTTAAAACTTTTGTTGTCTTAATAGCCATAAAAGGACAATGTCTCTATTTTCACGTGAGATCATAATAATTAAAATATAAATTATATATTTTTAATTTTATTGCTTTGTAACATTTCTCAAAATTGGGTTTTACGTTTGAAAGCCAAAGCTTATTGCGTAGAGTTATCTTTTTGTCTTATTTTTTGTAAATGTCAAAATTTTGAGAAAAAATTGATATATAGTTTCTTTCTAAGAACATTACCCTAAAAAAGAGTTTGATAGATGAGATTTTCATTTTTCCTTCTCCAAAAATGAAAATCTCATCTACCAACCTCTTTTCTAGGGTATTATTTAACATTTAAATACTGACTTTAATAGATTTTTTTGGTAAATTTGTATTGACACCATTTAAAGTGACAGTTTCGGTGTCCCAATTAGAAAAATGTAGCTTATTTATCAAACAGCGCTCAACAACTTGATGGTGATTAAAACTTGCTTTTTGAGTTCTTCTGCTTTTCCAAAAGCCTCCCTCGAACCACACTCTCAGAAATGATAGTTCACGAGGTTAGTCTAAGAAAGTTAGTTTTATCTGAGTTTGCGTGTCGATGAAAATGTAAATTTATGTGTTTCATGCGTCCATTTCATGTTTTCGTTCTAGTATCGATCACCAAAGTTGCGTTTTGTAAATAATTGTTGTTGTGGAAAGTCACTTTTACTTGATTGGTTGACCCTTTTGTGCACGCCATTCAGTTAATTGGAGCTTTTTCGTCCCGAAAACGCCATTTTGGGTCAATTAAAATTGCCAAACTGGCGTTTCCTTGATCCTCTGTGAGAGCCATCGTATCGACTTTTGTACAGCCTTTGGGGTCCAGTATTTCCCCAAAATTATGATTTCTTACTGTTAGATAAGTATAAAACGGTCGGGAGCGTGCAATGTGTAAAATAGACTCACTGAAGGTGAATTCCCTTGAAATTTGCCATAATCTAGTAAATAAGTCTTAGAGAAATCTAAACGTATCTTAACCGTTGTTGTTACAATGTAACAATTGTAGAGATTTCAAGAGGTGCGTTCGGGTATATCGCAATTTATTAATAATATCCGATGATAAACGTAATTTACAAATTTTTCTTACATGAAACTTAGGAAGAATGTTCGTTGGGCCGCGCGTTATTCAGTTGTTACATGAAGCATTGTTTTTGTTTTTTTGCTGTATTTGTTAAGAAATGGATGTTAATTTGTATTTTTGAAAACTATTTTTCTAAAGGTCTATCGCGATGATAAATAACCAAATGGTCTTTGGACCTCTGTGGCCGTTCAAGCGAGGACGACACGTGATATTTGACGAGAAATTTCAAAAATTAGTTCGGTAAGACTCGACTAAGATATTAATGAAATTTGTTTTTGTATGGAAATTCATTAGGTATGATGTGAGTGATGATTCTATTGTCAAGTGACGTTGAGGGGTTATCGTTGGATAAATAAATGTAGGAAATATTCAAAGGGCTTTTTTTACCCCATTTTATCCCAAAACCCAAACACATTCTCTTTTATAGCTCCCACTTATCACAAAACTCTTGCATTATGTATCTGGCGTTGTCTTATTGTATTGTATCTCTCATTTTCCCACAAACAAAAGTGACAAAAAATGCAATATTGTGAACACATTTTTTCACACGCAATTCATGTTATTTAAATTATGAAGGAGTGGTAGGTACAAAATGTGTTTATCTCTTGTAAACAAGCTCCCAAGGGGCTAATAAGTTATTAGTACTTACTTAAATTAATTGAATAAAACTGGAACCCATCTTGTAAACTTCGATCCAAACAACCAGGGTATGTCAAGACTTGTAATTTATTGTAGTATTTTTTCGTTTTAATTTCCGATTGAATTGTTTTTGGGTTACTCGGCTAAAAATAGCCAAAATGCTATCAAAACACCTCTTTAATCGTGAATTTATAGGCTTTTTGGTAAACAGCTGAGTTTGCATCCAGGACGCTAAACTAGCTCAATCTTAGATAAGTATAGGAATTCTTAACCATTATCAATTTTCTTCTTAAAAGAAATAGAGTTTTGAAATATTATCAAGCGTAGGTATTGCCTCTTATTTCTGTAACAACCTGCATACGACTCATAAGAGAGAACAATGCAACGATGAAGTGAATTACTTTACAAAGAAATTCTGGCATTTATTTACGTAAAAATCTTTTAAAGACAGTAGTAATCTTATCTTTACCTAAATGATAAGCAAAAAATCTTTGACCTGTTTTTACACTTTGGTAAATGAATGAAAAAAATTACTTATTATTATTAAATAATATTCGTCACGGTTTGTTGCCAAACATCATTTTTTTACATTTAAACTGAACACTATGTCGCAATGAGTATCAAAATAATTTTAATCACTGAAATGACCAAAGTATCTAAATTAGGACACTTTCCCCTACATTTTTGTTTTTTGTAAATGTCCTTGCTCATGACGCGTCCCTGACACCAAGAGGTCAAGTTTATTTATTAGAAATCCAAAAATATTAACGTATTCGAAAATTTTTTAGAAAATATTAAAAAAATAGGTTTATTTTCATAAAAGGTTAGGTTATGTTATCAGTTGTCAAACTTGTCAAAACGCTATTATTGATTGATTATTTACAATTTTGCATTCACAAATAATGTGGATTTTAACTCAGATGTATTGAAATAAGCATAAAGCATGTTACTAGGTATTTTTCAAGTGCAATAAAAGTTAATTCAAAGAACAATAAAAAATGTTAGGTTAAGTTTCATTTATTTACATTTTTTATCTTTTAGAAGTAACAAAAATGGATATATTTGAATGAAATGTGGTACTGGAGCCCCTAAAAATGGGTGCACCCGTGTTACTGTACATGTACGACCTGTCAGATGGCTGGTGCCGGAATTTGGGGCCTTTGTGCCCCGTCAACGCTGTTTGGCACACCAGTATTGTTTTGTATGGCAATGAATATGTTTTTGGTAGTACCGGTATTATATTTCACAAGCCCGTACGCACTCTAACTCTCAATGACCGCAAAATTAGTGTAATATTTTAGGGAAAGCCTGACAAAATTATTGAACTTGGTGAAACAGATATAGCCCCGTTTGATTTTAAAATTTATGTCAAAGAATTGAAATATACGGAATGGACGTAATACAGGTATTCAAACAATTATAATAAAATAATTTCATGTTTTTAGTGGGACTTCATATGACCCTTTCAAGCACAACTGCAACCATTTTACCGATCACATTGCCAGGTTTTTAGGCGTGGGGCCAATTCCTGAGTGTGTTTTTACCTCAGTTGACAAGCTACGCGAGTCACCTTTCTATTCGAAGATCGTAGATTGGGTCACAAAAAATGGGCAAAACCAACAGAAATAAACAGTTTTAATAATTATTGCTTCCAAAATACCGAAGGATTATTCAAAATAAATTTTACTATTTATTCATTGTATAACAATTTTATTACACTAAAAAATGAAAATTGGCGTATTTAGAGAAAGGTATATTTAAATCAATGAACTTCATTAACTTGGCTATATGTACAACAGGAAAAAGCTAATAAGAAAAATATCGGATCTAGAATAAATCACACTTTTCATTTGAACAATAAACTTAAATAATTGTAACAAAATTAAACCTCCACTTAACCTGATCAACCGTTTCAACTTATCCTATCAACATGACCAGAATCATCTTTTATACAAAACCTCTTTAAATCTAATACTGTACACCAACTACATCCAGCTTGAATTTCAACTTAACCTATCATGACTTTACAAATAATAACACAGATCTCTAAAAACCAAAACTAGAACCCTGCTAATTCGCCTCTTTATCGTAAAACTCTGTCCCGAATCTCGTCGTAAGAACGTAAACCACAGCCTCGTAAGTCGCCATCATGATTGCAGTATTTGGTATTTGTCTCACAAGCTGCGTCGTCAGTCCCCTATACACGCCTCGAACGCCCTCCTCTTTAAACACCAAAGTCAGGGTTTGCCAGAAGCCCGTGTAGCGGTTGCCCTCTTCCCGGAGACGGGTACGCGCCACTTCGTGGGGGTACGCAATGCAAGACGCGACGGTTTTCGATACGGCACCGGCCGCCATAAACTCGAAAAAGTCCCTCGAACTTTTTTCAGTCGAATATTGGGTGTGATGGCTCACAAGCTCCGCTTTTATCGCCTCGTAGATCACGAAGTGGACGATTGTCTCCGAGATGCCCATGTACGAGGCGGTGATGCCCTTGTAGAACCCAAGGATGCCCTGAGGGGTGCCAACAATTAATTACATTCAAACGTCAAGATAATTCATTTGATACTTCGTTAACTTTGTCAGTTTTTTTAACGAATAACTATTCTAGAAATTAAAAGCTTATTAGAGTCGATATTTAAATCAAAAATAGCCCTGAAATGGGCTCTATTCCACCTACGAGTTTGCAACTTTACACTTTGCACTTTGCCAAACACCTTTGCGTTCACCAACAACAGCAAATTTTGCACATTTTGTAAATTATTCTTTGCAAAAATTATTTAAAAGATTGGTAGAACACATTAATTTTGCAGTTTGCAATTTAAGCAAAGTCCAAAGTTGCAAAAAATTTTTGGTTCTCCAAAATATTACGAAATGAATAATATTTGTGTTTTGATCCTTGGAATGACTGCTCTTAAAATTACAAAATTTTAAACATGAAACCCCAGTTCCAGAAAATATTCGCATTGAGTATCTCCAAATTAAAACATTTTTTTTATTTCTAGAAAAATACAATTAGATGAATTTTAAGTAGTACATTTTTTGTTATTAAAAAACTGTTGGTCAATCATCATCGTACAACTTTTTTATACGACGGATTGTTTACAATAATTAATTTACAATGCCAAGGCCATCAAGGCGGAAACAATTGTCACATATTTTCACATGTAAATTACTATGTACTAACGATTGTAACAGTACATTTAATTACTGATAAAATTATTGACAGAATAAATATTTTTAAATTTTAGGTGAAAACATTCAAATATTTAAAGTACAAAGTTCAACAGGTATTTAGTCTTTTTACCAACAGTGTCGTAATATGCAGATAATGTTTTCATGTTTTTGTGCAAAAATAAATATTTTACAACTTTACAACGAAAGATAAATCACGTTGTGAGAATTTGAAACGTAGCGACATCCAACCTAGAGATTCTTAAATAGTAGCAAACTAATTTAAAATTCTGTGGCAAACCAGTTTTATTGTTGTTTTGTGAGCATAACTAAAAAGTAGTTTACTCCAAGTCCATTCGTTTATATTTTATTTACATTATACTAGTTGAGGTCATGCACGTTTATTCAAACATTTATCAAAAAATTGGCAACCCTAGTGCCAAAATCTGTATGATTTTATTAAGTTTTTGTTCTGTTTACTGTTTATTTTTACTAAATCGGTGCCAAAATACAACAGTCAACACTGAACTAACTTTAGAAAACTAGTGGAATGACTGAAATAATGGAGTTAGAAAATAAAATTTAAAATTGAATTACAAATTTTTCAACTCAAAAAAATATATTCACCCGCATTGTATTTTTAAAATCTTACACTTTCATGAGGTTATTTTTTATTGTTAAAAAACCTAAGGCTCTGAAAACAAATTAATATTTCTCATTATTAAGATTTATACCAGTAAAAAAATAACTCGTTTTTCAAACCCACCTAAAAAGAGAATAAGAATTTTATTTTTCTGGGAGAAAAACAATGATAAATGGACGAAATCTCTGGGCTCCACCGCCTTAAAAATAGAAATAGTTTATACCTTCTAAACAAGTAAATTCAGAACTTGAGAGCATTATCAGCAATAAAATTTAATCACTATCAAAAATCCTGTCTTTTATCAGTACAAAGTAAATTAGGTAAAGTTGTGAAACACTGACATTGTTGGTAAAAAAAAGTTACTTTAGATAGTAGGTAGATAGGGCCCAAAGTCAATTAAAAATAAAGCAATAATACTAAAAATAAAACAAAAACGTCCTCAAAATTATTGAATTTGATTTTTTTTTTATTAAAATGTGACATGTGTAGTCCAGCACATCACGTGCTATTTTTCGCACACACTAATCTCCGTTATCACCTCTGATAACACAATTCAAATATTGTAACCTTTCCGCCTTGACACTGCCGATTGAAATTTCCTATTTCTTCGGTCGGCAACACGCCGATTATAAATTATTCCTAATGTTATCGCTTCTATTTTTAACTCGTTTACCCCAAGGTCGTACAGGGCCGTCTTCATACTCCACTCACCGATTTGGCATATATCCTCCGTACGCATTCGAACGCTGTCATGTTGCTGTTCTTATTCATATCCAACTGTAATCGCGTCTTGACAAACCAAATCGGATTTGTCAAAGTACTAGCAACGAAACCGGCACACGACGCCGAACACACATGGACCATGGGCGAATCGGGAGGCAGGAGACCATTCCAGAAAAGCTTCGCTTGGGAATACGTCGCGAAGTAGATGGCCCGCGAGGGGGCGACCCCTACTAGATTGGGCCCTAGACCTGAAGAATTTTTCCAATTTTTATTCGTTCTTTTCATAGTTTTCGTTTTATTTTTGTACCTTTGAACAAGGCGAGGGGTCCTTCGTGCTTTATTATGTGCTTCAGACATTGGACTATGTTCAAAGTATCAGTCGAGGGAGTAACGTAACCTGAAAGAGCCACAACTTGAGGCCGGCTGTGCCGTGTAGTGGTCCATAACCTACGCCTCTGAGAGGGAGAGACTGTACGGCACGTCGTTTGGGAGCCGCCGGGGGGCTCCTGGGCGATCTGGGGTAAATGATGGAAGCCGCTTTTCGACGACTGTTGCCGGGTTTTTACCACTTCGAGGGGACACGTCACGATCGCCCCCACAGTTCCAGCCACCCTAAAAAAACACAAATTTAATATCCGTTCTCATATTTAAAACAGTTTGCGAATCATCCTGTATGGATTTTCGTTCATATACAGTCTTTCTATCAAGTAGGCGTCCTAGTTGAGGACGTATGTTGCATGGCAGTTCGTATGTTATCTACATGTCAAAAAATTATTTTATAAAAATTAAAACATTGAGATAATTAAATTGAATTATTCTATGAAACGTTTCAAAACAAACTAAAATAAGATTTTGTTGGTGTTTATTCATAAAAATCGTTCACCACGGTTTCCTGTCATAATTTACATAAAAATATTTTGACATTTCTCATTTGTCATTGTGACATTTTATCTTCCACAGACATACGTTTTAAATATCTACGCTTGCTTGATAGACAGACTTTTTAATCGCACTGTACAAGTGACCAAAAATAAAACATTTTTTAAACATTATTATTTTTTTAATATCAACTTAACTTGACATTTTTTTTTCACAAGAATCAAATTCTATTAAGATTATGTAGTTGTATTATGTTATTTCATAGTAGGGCGCCATTTTAAAAAATAAAAATTAATTTAAAAAAACGATCACATAGGTTCTATTTTTTGTTCACCTTGTATAACCGCGCCTTTAATTAAATTTCCAATTAAAGCAACCTGTGATTTTGAAATTAACTTGGCAACATGGACCCTTGTTTAATCTCTGTTCTATACTCGTTTCCATATTAATGTGCATCAAAGTAGTCGTTGAACGAGATCCTTTAATGCGAAAATTCAAACAATCTTAATCCCTAAAAATTACTTTTTTTTAATTAATTAATTTATTTTTATTAAATAAATGTGTACTCCAGGTAACAAAAAATAATTAACATTAACAACGCAATAAATATAGGGTTGCAAACTTAAATATTATTGACAATATTGATGTGATTAAGTTTGTTCTGAATGACATTAAATCACTTTTTGTGTGAATATGCCTTTAAATTAAAGATGCACTTAGACCTCTACAACCTACTAGATGTGGTATTAATTTTTCTTCTTGCAAATAAACAATAGTTTAATTCATTTGTTGTTTTACATAAAATCTAGTTTAAAATAGAGAAAACCTATTTCGTTCAAAAATTATGTTAATTAATTTTATTTTGAAAAAACAGTTAAAAAAATATTAAGTTAAAAATGATTTGATTTTTTGTCAATGTCATTATTAATGCATAATTTTCTTTAAGAAATGGTTTGTTAAATTTTTCATTAAAAAATTCAATATTTTCATTTAATTAATTTGACGTTTGTCAATGCAAAGTAAATGGCAAATTAATTCGAATTACTTTAATTTTGAATTAAATTTTAATTTGGCTTTCTGTAAACCGGCTCCAAGAGGAATTTATGTTGAAACTGAAATCCGATAATTTACGACCCTGTCTGCTTGCGGTTAGAAGGATCGGCATCCAGCAGGGGCTGGTTTATTGAGGCGTCATTTTTAGTTTGTTCGACTGTACATTAAAATGAAAAAGACTATAAAAATAAATGATATACAGTGTCTCATACTTGGGAGACCAATTATTTATTTTTTTAAGACTTATAATTCTCATTAAATATGATTTAAGTCGACCCAAGTCCAATGACACTAAAAATTAGCCTAAAAATCATTTTCTTTTCAAACAGTGCATTGAGGCAATTTCAGAATGAAATTTTCCTGTTTATGCAGCAAACTACATACACTGTTGATAAGCACAAGTACAACATGCAATTTTTTAAATTGCTTATCTCGACAAAAACAAAGATATCGTGCCAAAACTTATTGTTACATCGATATTTCACATTCATTTATGATTCGCATTGCTGTTCTATTTCAAATTGAATTTGTTGTTGGTTTATAATTCGGCGTAGGGGATAATAAACGAGATAATTTGAATAAACCATTTCTAATAATTGCTAATAAAAGCTAATTATAAAATGGCTGTATATTTAGAACGCAAACAATTTTTTGATAAAAATAAATGATGTTGGATATTTTGAATAATGAGATAAAGCTTTTTGGAAAATTATTAATGGCTTAATTACGCTCAATCTTAAATTTATCGGTCAGATAAAACAATATCAACATACTATAAGCCTAAACACAATTATTGTTTTCAATAACTCGTGGTTATCGAAAAACAGTTGGATACTTTACTATATCACTTTTGGCAATTATTTTGTTGATAATAAACCAATGTTCCAAAAATGGACATAATTGTTTGCACATACTATACCACTTGAGTTTTCTAATTATGATTAAAAACAATGAAACGTTAAAAATTGCAAAATCCCAGTGATTAATTGACCAAAGTCTTTCTTTTTTTTATCTTCTCTTTTCAAAAATGTCAAAGTAAATTTCCACAAAATTCTAATTTAACGTTTTGTCACAATACAGAAATGTGTTATTATTGCAATTTTTTGTTGAAATGCGTCACAATTGTATTCTAATTACGGAAGTAAATCATTATTTTTGTTGACAAATAACAAAAGATAAATGACCTGAGTAAAGTTATGATTAAACATTGTGGAATTTTGAAAACATCGATGTTTGAAATATCTCATTTGTTACCCTCTGCAATAAACGTTTGCGAAATTTTAAAATTTTGAAAATGAGCGAAAACTAGGAAAAATAACAATATCTATCTTTGTTCCATATTTAAACATCAATTCCTACAATTGCGGACACGGAATTTTGGGCGATTTGTCATTCGACATAAAAATAATGTAAAACGGGCCTTATGCAACCAACCCCACTTTCGGTTTTTTCATTTTTATTTTAAAATGACAACAAATCAAAATAATTTATTGAACTTAAATAAAAACATGTATTGCTGGCATTATTATTTCGGAAAATTGACGACAAAAATGAATTTTGAAATTTTAGTTTCAAATGTCAATCATAGTGACAATAAAGCGTGACTAACATTGACATTTTTAGAACTGACATAAATTTGATGTCCAAAATTTCGTGTCCACCATTGTACTTTTTTTTAAACATAGTATAAAAATAGCAAATCTGTATAATTGCCTTTTCGTATCCGCATTTTAAATTAAAAATTATAACGTGTTATGCTATCGCAACATATCTAATTATCTTGAAGATTAATGAACAAAAACAAAAATATTGTAAAGATAAAACCAAAACAGAGTCAAATAAATAAAACGCAATTTGTCGAGAATTTTACATATCTAAACAAACACAAAATAAGAAAACTTATTATTTACTAAATTATATAGCTTAATAAAAATGAAACTGTGGTGCAGTTAAAATCAACAGAAAATTATTTTTTTAAAAACAAAGATATTTTCCTACGACCCTAACAGAAAGTAAGTTTTCCCACGAAGTTTTTTCAGAAGGACAGTAATTACCCTCAGAGAGGTAAAAATTTTACCTCCCTGTAGCTCTCCCATGGAAACGGGAAAACATGCTCTAGGTTTAATGGCGTTACTGGGATATGAAGAGAAATTGTTATTATCCGTTTTTTTAAATAAAGAATTGTCAGTGTTAAAATCGGGTTTAAAAGTAGTTCATATCGCGTTAAAAGGGAAAATTGAGAAATTAGATATACATTACTTACCCGGATTTGGGGTAGGTAAGTAATACAGTTTAGTTTATAAATTTCTTCAATTAAAGCCATACAACGAAAATTAATTCTAAGTTTGACACTGAATGAATTGTTTATTAAATCGAACAGACTATAGTTCTACGTTTTTCTTGCTGGGTCGCAGGAAAAATTATATGTATTCCTCCCAAATAACTATTGTATTGTGGTATCAACAAGAAATTACTGCCTAGGATTTAGGGTTATTCGTGAATAGGTTGCCATAAATTTAGTTAGGTTGGTTTTTGGTGATAAACAAAAGATACCGTAACCAGTGTCAAAAAAATTTATTTTAAATCACCTTTTCTAGTTACAAACAACAAGAAAAACGTAATTTTCCTAAAAGTTCAAATCCTAGGTGGTAATATCTTGTTGACAAATCTGTACATGAATTGTCTAGACAAAATAAAAGCTTTTTTACAAAATTTCATATCACAAAAATAATTACGTAAGTGATGTTTTGAAAACTATTAATCTTTGACTGTATCAATAAACTATTGTTATTTGAAAGATAAATGAAAAGATTTCAAGTATAACGATGCTACACTTTTAAAAAAGTAATTATGTAATATTTAGAAATTATTTTCATATTAGTATCTTTGAAGCAACAGGTTACTAACCTTGTGCGTTGGAGATTTTAGTTTTTTTTTGTATATAAAAATGTCAGTTTCAAGTTATGGATTTGCAAGCTTGCTGAATCTTTTGTAATATGTCACAATTAATTGGAATGTGTTGCAATCACAGTAGGTACAATGTCCAAGAAGCAAATACGTTAAACACCGAACTACCCTTCTGATAAAATGATTATCATTGACCTGTTTTAGGATCCGTAATTTCGAAATTCCGCTATCTAAAAAAAGCCGGAATTTAGCTCGACGTTTTTTGGGTCACCCCTGATCATTAATCACGGTTGCATTGTGTTGGTAAGCCTGTATCAAACAAAAAAATCCAGTGGGCAATATTTTTGGCAGAAAACATTTTGTTTTCTTTATTTTTTGTATGACATCAAACGTTTGTTGGCTGTTTATCTTAAAAATGCTCTCTCATTGCCAAGTAAATAATTTCGAATGCGGCACTGTTTCGCTAATGTCAAATTGACAGTATTGAAGTTTTCTTTTATAAATTGTTGTAAATTAGTACTAATAACGTTTGTGTTCGATTAGATGTTAAAACTTTCGGTTAATTTCCTTCTGAAAGTTTCCAAAGTGAATTGCGCATCATCTACGGAAAAACGTGCTATTTTTAGATGGAACGATCGGAAGTACCGGCGCCAAGTACACAAATGCGTCATAAATTACATAATGTGAAAAACTGGTTAGGTTAGGTTAGGGTTAATACCTACCCCCCGGCAATAAGATGAATAACGGAGTCTTTTTGAGACATATCACCCTTCAACTTGAGGGTTTCTCACTGTCACCACACTGTCCACTCGCATGCCCACTGAGTCCGTCCCTGTATCACCCTTATTCGTGAACGTGACACTCGGCGCGTAGGCCTAAATTTCCCAAATTTATTCGAATACCGCACTGTTTTCGTCCCCCACCACCCGGTACCATGCCGCGATCACGTGGCCCTGTTTACCCGGTACCACTGCACCCCTAATGACAGTATTGACAACTGGGGAAAACCACCCTCGATTGTTTCATTACCAACCGTCCCCGATGCACTGAATTTCCGCGATTTTTTTCGATGCATTCAGGGCGTGCTTTCTCCACGAGTTTGCGCACCCAACTGTCCACACGAACGCACAATGTAAACAAGTGTTTGGCTTATTTTTAGCTTATCTGGAGGCAATTACGTAAATAAGCGATAAGTTAGGTTATGTCAGAGGCGGCTTGATGACTTTCGATGTGCCCAGGATGCCCAACAAGGCCCTCCACTGCTACCTCCTGATGATCATCTGGATCCTTCTGTTGGTGGCAGGTGTTTACAAATTCCTTGAACCGAGACAGAGGCCCCCCGAGCCGGCGGTCAGCGCCGAGCTGTTCCACAACCTCGCCAATGATATCAAAACTAGGCGAATTTTTAAAATTTGCAACTTCCCCCACGAGATCTCCGATGGGGATGAAGGTATAACCCCTCAACTCCATGAACCCCAATTGACAAGTGTTTGACAGGTGTGGTCCAGAGCAAGAAATGGGTAATGACGGGAGTCATCATTCTTATAAGACATGGAGACAGGGGGCCCCTACAACATGTTAGGAATATCTCCGCGGTCAATTGCGGCTCGCAAGAAACAGAAAAATTGATTTCTTACAAGGTAATTTATCGCCTTGGCAGTCACAAACCAGACAAACAAGTTCTTGGATTAATTTCTGCTTTCTCGAGCTAAATTTGCAATCTTTGGGTATTTTCAGAACGATTGGTCTAATTTTGAATTTGAATAAACGCGAAACTGCCAACAAATGTGATAAACCAAATCAGCGTTTCAAAAGATAATAAACACTATTTATAGGCCAAGTCGTAAAAATGTGTTTGTTTGAAGCCTTCATTTAATTAATTGCCATATTTTGAACCTCAAACTAGGCTATTTTTAGACCAACAGATGATTGTTAAATGTCTGAAAGTTGGCACCTGTTGGTGCCATTTTTATGTCAGTGACATTGTTCGGGTAGGACGAAGTTGTAAAGGGGCCAAATGCAGAATTGTTTACTCTAAATAACTGGAAAATCATCGAAAACTATATTTTTATCCAAAGCTGGATATACATATTAGCTTTGAATGATATGTATTGTTGGTTGCAGTCTTTTTGAAGTTGGTGTAAATACTGGATTTCCTCTGCATGCAATTTAAAGACAAATTTGGCATCTACCGGGTGTCCCAGGCAGGCTTGGATATAGGAGATTAACATGGGAAATTAGTTTTTATTTTTTCCGACTGCAAGCCTGCCTGAGACACCCGGTATATCAAAATCTTATTTTCAGTCATATCTTCACAACGTGACAATCTCGGGCCGCGCCCCCTGGACTGGCCCTGGCCCCTTCCACGACTTTCCACTGCTACCAACCCACCCTCGTCAATGCCAACTGGGCCAACTCACCATGCAAGGCATCAGCCAACTCCTCAAACTGGGCCAAATATTACGTGATTCTTACCTTCACGTTTGGCCGAAAATCGCAACTTTAACACCTAGCGAAGTCCTGGTCTACAGTACCCGATATCGACGAACCTTCCAATCAGCCCTATCTTTCTTATTTGCTTTAATACCCACTGAAACATTCACAAAATTATCTATTTTCGAAAGTCAATCAATGAATTTTTGTTTCAAAGACTGCGGGTGCCCCATCACTGACAAATTGTTAAAGTAAGTATTGTTTTTTGTAGCAATTTCGTTCTTTTTTTACTGTTCTTTTTTTGTCAGAGGGGTCAAGAAATCGATTTCGCACCAATTGAAATCTCACCCGGCTGTGGCCGTTCTTGCCGAAGCCACGGGAAAGTCATTGTTTTCCACTGGGGCGGAGCAAGGGGCTCTTGGTGGGGACCCCCATGCTGTCAGAGACGCTCTTCTGACGTATGTGTGCCACGGTAGTGGTCTCCCATGTGAAACCCCGACAAATTGTATCAAGTAGGTGTCATGCCATTGTTACCAACTTAACTAAGTTGAAGGTTCCAGGCGACAGAACGTTGCTGGTGTTTTTGCTTACACAGATTGGGTCAACTACCAGAAATGGAGGAACGTATTTTGGAAAAGACTGTGTCTTTTGAGGTCCTACGGGTTAATAAGACACATCGTGCAACAAATGCTACACATGGTGTCTAATAATGGCCCCTTTTTGGTTCTTTATTCAGGCCATGACCACACTGTGGAGCAACTCACCACAGCTCTAGGGCTTCAAAACGACCCGCTTTTGTTGCGGTATGGTGCCAGGGTTGTATTCGAAGTCTACCAGAACTACGAAGAATCACATAATGGCGCCAAAGGTATTTATTTTCGCGTGCTATCAAACGGTAGGGATGTCACAAAGCAGGTGAGTTTTTGTAAAGATATAGTCTTCTTAGAAAATAAAGTAAGTTTGTGTAAAATCGAGGATATTGTGAGATTTATCCACGATGATTATTTTGTTTCCTTAAACGTGACGAATTTTAAGGATGCCTGTAGTAGGAATGAGTAGAAATGTGATTTTAAGTTGTTATATTTCTGAGACTGTGATTATGACAGACGTGTTTTCGTTTCGAGAGCAGTGGCGTATCAAAAGAGAAATAGAAAGGTCATTGACGTAAAAAGGAATGTCAAATGTTGTGACCAAAGCACAAAAAAGGTTGTGAGCTTGTTCAAGAAATGAATTCACGGTCTCGAAGGGATATTTGATTTCTTCAGTCTTCCCTGGTTGTGTTTTATTTGTCATATTGGTCTTATCAGTATTTGTCGCTGTTAACAAGAAATGAGTCTTTATTGGTTGTGAAATTACTGACATTTTATCTTGACTGGAAATTGAAATCGCGAACAAAAGTAAAAGAGGAATTTGCTTTAAACGAAAGATTTTGGTTGTCTAGGGTCTTGATGATACAGTACATATGTTTTTATTACGCTTATTTTTATTATTTTTCAAGAGGTATGTTATCTATAAGAAAAAATTCATGTGATGTAACTGTGAACAAAGTGTAAATCCATTATTTATTTTAATCTACATTTTCTATTGTGATGCTGATTTATTTTTATCTTATTACTTGAGAAATAAAACTAGAAATTTTGTTGTTCATTATTCCCGTTCCAAATTTTGACTTTTGTTACAAAAAAAGTAAAATCGTATTAAATCACGTGTTTAGCAAGTGACACTGGAGATTCTTTTATTTATTTTTAATATTCTATTGCATAACTGTAGACGTCAACGAACGAGGTGTTTATCTACATAGAACTGTTAATAAAAATACTCGTTGAAGTTTCGTTAATGACAAAAATTTATTGTTATTTTATTTGTGAAATTTTTGTGGAAATTAGGAATAAACTTTTATCTAAACTCAAACAACAAGCGTGGATTTTTCTCTGAAGTATGTAATTTAAGTTTGCACTTGTTTTATTGATATTGCTATCTAAAATCAACTTTCTTTTGATAAGTGATAAGTTAATATTTGCCCACATTATATAACAATGATCAATCTCGTGCATCAGTAAACATCGTACCACAATCTGTTAATTCGTAAAATAAAACACAAAGTCGTTATATTTGTGTTTATTCAATGTCTCCATAGAATCAGTCTTTACTGCAAAAACATGTAACTTTCAGATGACTAGTGACTAGTAATAGTAAAAACACGGCCAAGGTTTCTGTTTATTTGAAAAATCCATTGCTTAACTGACCTACACCTTAATGAGTTATTTTTTGTGCAACTTATAAATCTAAATAATGCGATATGTAAATAAGACAAACTTTAATAAAAAAAAACATAAGCGTAACATTTGCTTTCATTTCCCTTGTGATTACAATTGCCCCCCAGACCCCTTTTTCCCCAAAACGATTTTATTATATGCCGCATTCATTTGTTCCAAGAAAATAAACGTAAGGACGGTATGAGGCCCTAATCTGAAGTAGTACGGTGTGAATCCTTTCCACAAAGCGAACGGCCCTTCATTTTTCACGATTTTTACTAAAACATCTATCGCCCCTGAGTATTCAGGTTTGCCGTTGATTGTCTTCATGTTTTGAATCCTGAAATAGCAACATTGAAAGTAAATTGTGGTTTTGATGCGAATTTGAACCTCGTTTTGGCAATATCAACTGGCATAGAGGCGGCCGTTGTGACCAGTCCTGAAATCATTGAGGAACAGAAATGTAGGAAAATCCCGTCGTGGAAAAATCCGGTATTCATGAGAATCTGTTTGGCTTGCGAATAAGTGGCCAACTGTGCCGCATTGACCACCATTGCGCGCCCCATTGTGGGGATTGCGCCTCTCCAAAGAGTCAAAACACCTTCCTCCTTTGTTATCCTGAAGAGAGCGTCGAATACGTTTTTGTAGTTGCGCCTTTCGGCAGCGGGAAGACGGCCATCGGCAGTCATCCGTATTAGAGATACTTCAGCTGGGGTTCCTACAAATTTTGGGCTTTTAAAGGAGCTCGGAGTGCTATTAGAAGGTTTTACCAACGAAGGCCCCACACACACCGGCCATCATCCCTAAACCTGCTTTTACAATGAAACTAGGAGGCTTCCCTTCCTCGGAAAACGTCTCAAAAAGCCACGAGTACACCCCCAGACGTGTCGTTGTATAAGTAGCTTGGCGCAAAAGCCCCGCCGAGAGGCCAGTATATAGGGCGAAGATGCCTTCGTTTGCTATGATTTTTTTAAGGACTTGGAATGAGGTCGCTCTTTCTTTTTGTGTAGCAGCTAATTGCATTCGATTTTTGAGTAAATCTAGGGGTTGGACGAAGAGGGTGCCCGCCATTCTGAAAGAATTTGAATGTGGCGGGGTTGTATTACCAACTTTGCATGAATAAGATGATTAAGGATGAGATAAGGAGGAAATTGGATCAATTAATGTGGTATTTACCCAGCCGATCCTCCGAATAAGAATTTAATGTATTTCGGCATTGTTTTTTCTTTGTTGTCTCCCATTTTGAATTTGAACTCCACTGGTATTTAACACGTCAAACTGTCACAAGAAAGTGACTCGATTGTAAGAATTTCATAAAAATCGGTTCGTATATATTTACGATTTGTAGCTGTGGAGGTTGTAAAGGTCATTTTTGTCATGAGAAAAGCACTTTATGTCGATTTTATGGTGGGGCAATCGTGCCAACATAGGCAATTCATTATGCAGATTTGCTATGCGGGTTGCCGAAGTAGGTCACTAATCAAACTGTCAAATGAATTGGAACATTTTTAAAATCGGACAAAAATCGCAAAATAAGCAGGTGAGTCATGTGTTTCCCTCTTTCCAAATACTATTAGAACAGTTTTCGCTAATTAATTTTAAAATGTGTAACGATTCAATTTCGATAACCTCAAAAGTGGTCCTTAGGATGGCTAGCAACATCCCGGATTTCTTCTACTCCTGCGAAATCTGCGGCTTGGAAGGCTTAAGCGAAGACGAATTTCGGACACACACACGCACTGCCCATGTTGACGGAAATGCCGTGTGCCCCTTTTGCGAGTTATCGGCCGTTTCACCCGCTGAACTCATCCTTCATGTCAATCAAGCCCATTTGGACTATCTCACCCCCGAATCCGAGTCCAACATGACTTTCATTGATGACGTCAGCCCCAGGTTTGCCCCTCACTGTAATTCTGCATATTATCTCAGTAGTGCTTTTTCCAGCGAATACAACGGTATCAATGGGGAATGTAGTGATAATTGGAACATTCCGTCTTTGCCCAGCCATAATAAAACCAACATTAATAACATCAACTTGTCCCCGAAAGTTAACGGAGGCGGCGAACTTAGTCCGAAAAATTCCACCCACGGTCAGGGATCCCCCTTGCGGTCTAGTCTGGCCTTGAAGTTGAAGAGTGCGACTCCGAAAATGCAGTGTCCCATGTGCAGCTACACGAGCTCCAGTCCAAACGAGCTCGAGGAGCACGTGAACAGGTAAAAATTAGTTGTTATAATATTAAATTGATTGTTTTCTTTTAGGCGACATTTTGATGTGACTTCACCCTCGATTGGGGGCACCACCAGTGAGATTTTTTCCTGTCCTTTATGCGTAAAGTCGTTCAATTCGGCCCCCGATTTGGAGCTTCACGTCAATATCGAGCACCGCGATGTTCTCTCCCCGGCCAGTCCCCCCACACACTCGTGTCCCGTCTGTGGAATTAATCTAGACAACGCAAGCAATGTAAATTTTTGCCTTGTCACTCCACATTGTTACTCTTTTGTTTTCTCTAGAGTGAGAGCGCCGCTCGTCACGTAGAGAGTCACTTTCCGGCCACTTCGCCCCAACCTGCGGAAAGAGCAGCGTTGCGAGAGCGTGAACAACGCGAATTCGAGATGTTAAGGGCCCAATACGGGATGGATAATCAGGGTAACTTCAGGGAACAGTCCGTTACGAATATGCAGAGGGCAGTGTATGCGGGCGAGATGAGTGTCGCAGATTATTACGAACGTACGCTGGATTTGAGGGCGGCTGAGAGTTGTGGGATTGACGATGGGAGCTCAATCACGAGGAGTATAGTACCGAGGGTCAGGGCGATCAGTACCACCGCCCCCAATGTGGTTCGTACGCTACTCTGTACCTGTGTTGATCACTACGCTTCGTCCTATGGCGACAGGGGATGGGGCTGTGGCTATAGGAACATGCAGATGTTGATTTCGAGTCTGCTTACTCATACTGGGTATTTTATTTTATTTAAAAAACTAACAATGTAGTCTTATATTTCAGATACAACGAGCGTCTGTACAAACTCTGGCAGGGCCAGAAGCCACCTCGCAGTTCCGTGCCGAGCATATCTCGCCTCCAAAGCCTCATCGAGCAAGCCTGGTCTCAAGGTTTCGATATTCAGGGTTCCGAGCAGTTGGGTTGCCGTCTTGTCAACACCCGAAAATGGATCGGGGCCACCGAAGTTGTCACTCTTTTATCATTTCTCCGGATCAAATGTCAGTTGGTGGACTTTCATCGGCCTACGGGTCCCGGCGGTACTCACCCCGAACTCTTCACCTGGGTTTTGAAATATTTCGAAAACAGTGTCGGGGGAGAGTTTGTCCCGCCTCTGTATTTGCAACATCAAGGTCACAGCCGGACCATCATGGGCATTGAGGTGCACCGCGACGGCAGTTTGATTCTTCTAGTGCTAGATCCGAGCCATTCCCCCCAACAGATGGCGCAGTTTGGGGATACTAACAGTTCGGCCGTGGCTTTGCGGCTTTTGAGGAAGAGTGAGGCGGCGATGAAAGCGCGCCAGTATCAGATCGTGGCGGTGGTTGGAACTATAGATTCGGAACAGCAGTATCAGGTAAGTGCAAGGGTGGTAAAATGAAAATCAATGAGAAAAATTTGTTTGTAGCAAAGTAAAATTCTGAGAGGTACGAGAATACCGCAGGACCGGTGAGGTTAACCCGTCTCATAACTTAAAATTATCAATATCTACTTTTCGCCACCTCTGCTGTTCATATATTAAAAGGGAATTTTTGAAAGTCTGCCCTGTGGCCGCTCTTTTGTTTTATTTTTCAATCATCATGGCCTCGAAACGTCAATAAAGTAGATAGGATGAGCTTAGACCTGATTTGTTTTTAGTTGGGGACTTTTTACGCTCCCCTAGATTGAGTGATTCTTGAACAATATTGAGAAATTATGGCAAAAGTGTTAAACTGTTATAAATGATAACTATTTTTGACCAAAAAGATAAAAGTATCATTTTAGTCAATTTTATTAAAGTACACTGTTGTAGGATTTTTGTCCTTAAAACGCTTGTTACTATTGTTTGTGATATATATTAAGTTTTTTTATTTATTCGTAGTAGTAGGTTCAATTTTGTCACTATTGAATTTTACCTCTATTACACAAATGTACAAATCGATTTAAAAAATCAAGGTTTATTAAAGATTCATCGCTGTATTACTCCTCCTACCGATCCCAATCAAGTGAACTTTGAATTTGATAAATATTAGATATTCATGTCACCAAATCGAAATGACGTGAACGCCCAATATCATTTTATTGGTCAAAGAGAGGGGCTCGGTTTTGACGTCATAGCTGTTTTAAAATTTGAAACACAGTGTGATAAAAAGTCCTTGATTGATCATCTCTTGGAATCAATAAATTCACTCATGATATGCACTATTATAATTTAAAAGCTTGCGACGATAAACAAATTACGCATTCCCTCGTAGTGATTGATATCAATGGGTGCAGGACAGGTATTAAAATGATGAAACACGTGATTGACTTGCATTTGACTAAAACTGGGGAAATTTTTTATTTACTCAAAATGTGATCAAGGCCGTAAAAACTGGCACACATTATTATGCAAATTCTTGATTTAACAATTTGTTTTTCTGAAATTATTTTTCCGATTAAGTGATTTTGAATTATCATACTGCTTTGTAATGTATTGTGTTTTTTAATTAATGTCATAAGGTCGAGAAGGATTCTATTATAAATATTTTATTTTTCGTATGTAAATTATTCAGATTACGTTGCAAAATTTCAGTGTGATTGAAAAAGGATTCTATGTTGTTTCAAATTTGTTACATTTGTGTCATTTCTCATTATAAAAAGATAAATGATGTGTAATTAGGAAAGATGAAACAGTGCGTATATAAATGAACGGCCTTGGAGTTTAGTTATTTAAAGTCAAGGCCGCGATCATTTGGCAACGAAAATGAATATTTTGTTTCTCTAATTTGCAAGAAATTGTTATCACAATACAAACCAATTTTTTTATTAAGTGTTATAAACATTTATAGTTTACTCTTCAGAAATTGTGGTTTGATTTGTTGTATTACCACGGTAGGCATACGGCATAAAATAAATCTAATCACAATTTCAGTGGAGCAGACTCTAATGTGAAAGGAGTAATTAATAACACCTTCGGTTGCTGAAAGTGCCCAAAAAGTTGAAAACCATTCATAATCATAAAACTGCTATAAAACACCCGCAAGATAAACATTATAAAAGTATTAATAGAAATCAATATAAACAAGTAAAGGGTGTTGGTTTTTACGTCAGTACCGGACTATTTATCATTGCGATTGGATTTAGAAATCTGTGATCGATTGCAGCGACCCCTCAAAAGTCATGAAACATTATTACATCTGTTATCACAACGAGGAAACTTTTCAGGTCACACTTGCAACATTCATTGTTTACATTCCCAGAATTATGGATACAGATACAAACTCTTTGATCGTCAAAAATTTATTTAAAAAAATCACAATATGTACAAATATAAAAACAGTAAAAATCACGCAAGAACCTCCTTTTCGTTCTTCTTCAACGGCTGCATTTCTTTGTCGATTCGCGCCTCCTCTTCCACCGAATTCCACTTCTGTAATTCCCCCGTCCCTAGTAATAAATAGACGAGCGCTCCAGTGGCGTACGTCCCAACTAAAATCCAAAACACGTATCGCCACTGCTCGAAAGTCTGTTCTTCTTTGGTGAGAATAGCCACGATTTTGGTGGAAAGCCACCCTCCGAATGACGAAAGGGTGTTGGCCATGCCGAAGATCGTCCCCGAGAAGTTGGGGGCGATGTCGAGGCCATTGGAGAGGTAGCCGGCGGTGACGGCGCCGTTGAAGAAGAGGGAAGCGGTGAATACTACAACTGTTATGACAGAGTCCATGCCGAGGAAGGCCTGGATTATCATGAGGAAGCCTGGGGTGAGGACGGCGAATGTGGTGAAGGCTTTGCGAGTGGTGGTGGTGGAGAACCGGCCCGATTTGAGCAGGCGGTCGGCGAGGAAACTGGCGATCACGGCCATGGCGTATTTTCCTGGAATTAATTGGGAAAAATCAGGGTTTGATTAGTATTCATAACAGGTAAATGGCGTCATAGGGTAATTAAATGAATTAACTTTCTCTCTGTCGCTAAGCCCAACAAGGAAAAATGACGCACAAGAAGGACGAAAATGCGTTGTTATTATTGTCATTAAAAGTTTAAAAAAACTTCCGTAATTGCGTAAAACTACCGAATTTTTTAAAACTAATGCACATTTTATCTTTATTTGTATCGACTACGCAGTGGCGGATCTAGGCCATTTTTACCGAGGCTCGAGCCCCGGAAAAATTTTAAACATTATTAAGTTTAAATATGTACATTAAAAAAGATTGCATAAAAATAAAAATGCATTAATATTAACTATTCTATACCAAATAAAGTATTTCTGAGAAACAAAGGCACTTGCATTTTGGATTTTGCATATACCTAGAGACCAGAAAGTATGAAACCAAACATTCCTTCCTCAAACTATTTATTTATTAAAAAAAAACTACTTGATAAATGATCATTTTTCTAGTACTCTATCGACAGGGTACTATAAAAATGTGACGTTTCTGAGGAATAAAAATTTCAACTTTTTTTTGTTTTTGAATTTTGCAATTTTTTAATTTTTTTCTCAACTGGCAACTCGCTATAAAACCGTTTTTTTTTTGTAAAGGCTATGTTCCAAAAATTACATTTTATTCAATTTTTATCGGAAAAAAATTTCATTAAGTTGCCAAAAATCATTTTGAAAAAATCTCATAACTCAACAACAAAACAAGATTTCATTCTCAAAACACGATGAAATTTTTTATAGCACTTTGATTTATATTAATTATTATTTTCTGAAGGCAAATAATTAAAAAAACCTCTTGGTTCCATACTTTTTGATCACGTTGTGTGGTATGTAAATATTTTTTTTCTTAATACCTTTGAGTTAAGTGTAAAAAAGTGTAAAATTATGAACCCCGACTCAAGGCCCGGCAATTTTCAGAGGCTAGATTCGCCACTGCGATTATGCTATCGACAAGTCTCGTTTTGTAAAATTTTACAACGAAAAAATTTGTTATTTTATGCTAGCTATTATTATTATTATTATTATTATTAAAATTTACGTTTTTTTTGATAAAAAATACGAATATCTAGTAACAAATAAAAATTTACGAAAAATGTTAAATCAGATCTACACTCGATACACAGAAAACATACCAAGTACATATTTTATAACTTAGATAGACGCGTTTGTAATCTTCCACGTGCTGAAAAAAAAAAATAGATGACCTCGACGTTTGCCTTTTGACACTTAGATCGATGTTTTATTCCTATTTTATTGCAATTTCATTTAGTTAAAAAATGTTTAAAAAAAATTCTCATTACAGTATTATTGTTGGCAATATCAGTTATGGGGATTTTAAATTTTGCACTTTGACTATTTATTTCTGTTGGAAAACTAATTTTAATTTTTTTTTCCTGCAGCTTATTAGAAAAGGAAACAAAGAAGCTGTATATCCTATATTGTAAGTATGGGTGTACCCAAAAACGCGCACCTCCTTGAAAGAGAGTACTATAACAATGTTTAAAAAATTCTCTCAAAAAAATTTTGACATTTGTTTTTCGACATTTGACATTTTTATGTCTATTTGGTGATACTGATGATTATATGATATGTTTTTTTCATAATTATTTAGAAAAGGTACAAAAATGTTGCCAATAAAAGCCCCAAATAACACTAAATTTAGGAAACAGCTTCTTTGTTTCCTATTCTAGTAGCCTGTAGCAAAAAAACTTGGAAAATTATTTTTCCAACAAATAAATAAAGTCAATGTGCAAAATTTAAAATCTCATAACTTTTTTTAACCTACATCGATGTTTTATTCCCATTTTATTGCAATTTCATTTAGTTAAAAAATGTTTAAAAAAAATTCTCATTACAGTATTATTGTTGGCAATATCAGTGGGAACGGAAACAGTTGCATATCTATCAATCATGGCACACTTTGTATTAGAAACAGTAAATAATAAAATTTCCCTGTACTCACATAAAGCTTTTTTTATTTGAAAAAATTAAGAAATAAGTGGCAAAACCAGGAGTAACACAGTAAGTTTCGTCTCTTTTGGCTATTTAGAAAATCATCGTTGCATAAATAAGAGTTTAGTAAACGTTCTTTCAAATTTTGCAATTGCTTCAGTCACTATAGTAAGACAGTTTAGGAGTTTTTCTCATAACACTTTTTGAAATTCCACTTTTCATTAATAAATTATTTTTGACTAGTTTTAATCGTTTTTTTTGTGTTTTTTTAATATTCTTAGAAAGTAATCAAGATAATCGAGATAATATTCAAGATAATCAAAATACTCGTATCTTGTTTCTTCATTTTTTTAATCTTTTTTGTTGTTATTGAAATATTAACAACACGAATATTTTTAAGAATGCGTGAGCGTTTCTCGTTTTCATGGAATTGTAGAACGTCAGTTAAGAGTTCGAGGGTACAGCCCAAAGGACCAAAGTCTGAGGCCCGACAATATTATCGAAAAATTAATTACACCATAAACTAATTAACAAAAAAACATAAACAAAGATAGTGACGGACTTCGCACTCACCGAGATAGGGCAAACTGGACAATATCCCATTCTTCTTTATGTTGAAATGCAAGATATGATCCATATAGGACGGGAGTTGGTTGACAACGGTAAAATAACAAAAAACCGAACAACCATGAGTTATAATAATCGCCCAAACCGGCCCTGAAGTGAAGATTTTCAACCATGGCACGGTGGACGGCTTCACGCTTTTCCCTCCACTTCCTTCTGCGATTTTTGACTCGATTTCCAACTTTTCCTCAATTGTGATTCTACAATAATTGTGATAAGAAAAAACCAAAAACTTTGCGACTTTTTACCTGGGGTGTTGGGCTGGCGAATCAAAAACGAGCAAAAACCACGCCACCGACCACAGGATCCCCACCGCCCCCGTCACGTAAAACACACTCGGCCACCCAATCGACGAGATCAGAAACCCGCAAACGGGCATCGTCAATGCCGCCCCCAGCGAACTTGCCATCATGTTAGCGATGAACTTTGACCTCTCCATAGGGGGGATCCATTTAGCCGCCATGGGTAAAATGGCCGGCCACGTGGCTCCCAGGAAAAAGCCCAGCAAGGCTCGCAGTACTAGAACCACGTAGTAGTTGAGGTGGCAGGCAGCAGGGGTTAACACTGTGATGAGGCTAGCGAGGAGCATGCCTCCACCGAAGACTCGTCGAGCTCCGACGATTTCGGCAAGTCGGCCTCCGGGGAGTTCTGTGAGGACGTAGCCCCAAAAAAAGCTGCCCAAAATGTCATTTTTTTGCGTTTCCGTCCAGTCGAAGCGCGTGCTGGAGGTGGTGGTGTTTGTGTCGTTCTTTTTGATCATGTCAACCACGGCGATGGTCATGTTTACTCGGAGCATGTAGTTGAACATGAAGCCGAGGATTACCATGATGTTGAGGACTTGGGTGCACGTTAAGAAGTCTGCGATGTTATAAAAGGAATAAAAAATACAGATTGTTAATAAATTAATTTAGTTACATAATTTTATTATGATTGATTATTACTTCTATCACATTTTTGTAAAATTTTTGTATTTATACAATTACGACTATAATTTTTCACCAACCGAATATTAAAAAAGCTGTGTTTTTGCAAAAAATAAATAAAAACCAAACATAATAATATTTAATATTGTACAGGATGTTTCAGAATTCGCGTCTCTTAAAAATGCCAAGTAAAATAAATACAGCGTGATCATTTAGGACTATTTAAGTTAGCAAGAGATTTGAAAGTATTTTTGTTATAATTTGTAACACTGCAACCGGATACCGTTTTGATTGACAAATACTTGACGTACAACCCCTCAAGATTGTTAAATTGTTGTTAATCAGAAGCATACTCCACTGGTTTCCTTTAAAATCAGGATTACCAACAGATTCATTCATTCTTCATCACTTTGTATTTCGAAATTATGGGGGTTTAAATTTTGCACTTTGACTATTTATTTCTGTTGGAAAACTAATTTTAATTTTTTTTTCTTGCAGCTTATTAGAAAAGGAAACAAAGAAGCTGTATATCCTATATTGTAACTATGGGTGTCCGGAAAGTCGCGCACCTCCTTGAAAGGGAGTAATTGGATAGTCCCCCAGTGTACTAAAAAAATGTTTAAAAAATTTTGACATTTATTTTTCGACATTTGATATTTTTTATGTCTATTTAGTGATACTGATGATCTTGTATATGTTTTTTTCATAATTATTTAAAAAAAATACAAAAATTTTGCCAATAAAAGCCCCAAATAACACTAAACAGAGTTACAATTTAGGATACAGCTTCTCTGTTTCCTATTCTAGTAGCCGGTAGCAAAAAAAATTGGAAAATTATTTTTCCAACAGAAATAAATAAAGTCAAAGTGCAAAACTTAAAATCTCATAACTTCGAATTTTTTTTTATACATAAATTTTTTTAAACATTTTTCTTGTTGTCTAGGGTCTAGGGCACTGCACGATAATACAGTGTCACGGAGGTGCGCGACTTTCCGGACAATCTGTATGTATACCGTTATTTGTGGCTTTTATTATTAATTGGCAAACTTTTGGTACAACAGGGGACACGGAGTTTTGGATATCAAATTTATGTCAATTAAAAAATATCAATGTATGTACGCCACACTTTATTGTTGAAGTGTTAGTTGAAATTTATTTTTGGCGTCGATTTTCCAATACAGTAATGCCAGCACGATGTTTTTTTTTTCCAGCTGTCAGGATAGAAACTACAAAAATCGAAAAGGGGGTTGGTTACACATAAGGTCAGTTTTACATTTTTAGGTCAATCGAATGACTAATCGTCCAAAATTCCGTGTCTGGAACTGAACCTTTATTGAACAATACAATAGAAAAGGTCAAATGTCAAAATTTTTTGACGGATAGAATTTTTTAAACATTTTTATTTTACTTGCCGTTATTTTCTGAGGCGCCAGTTCCGAAATATACTGTATAGAAGTGACCCGGAAATAACGTAAAGAAAAAACTAAGATTTACTGCTAATAAATAAATAAAAAAATAAAGTGTCAAAAAATCGACAGCTCTGCTGAAATGTGGAATAAACGTGACCAAAAAATAAAGTAAAATAAAGGAGTCAGTGGTTATGTTTGGATCATTCTGTATAAACTACATAATACAGCGTTTTTCAAATTTAGTTATGTGAACTTTTTGAACCAAAATAATTTGAAGTGCATTATCTGCAAATTGACAAGTCATTATTTCTGTTTGTGAAAATAGTTGTTGAATAGGTACTTGAATATAAAATTTGTTCATTTATTAGTAGCAGGTAAGTAATTTTCAATTTTAAATTATTCACTGAAAACGGTTTTCTGAGACAAGTAGGTAAGTTTTTTATGTCCTTGAAAAAAAACGAATTTCAGTTTTATGGTTGGCATCACTTATATTTTCTCATGTACTTTTAAATTACAAAAAAAGGAAGTCAAAATGTTTTGTACAATTGTAGAAATTACAGAAACTTAGTCAAAAGCTATTGAGAAAATATTAACGACCAGAGCCAACTACCGCCTATGGCTATATTTTGAAAAGTTGAAAAAATATAGGTTTACAACGTAAAAAATTTGCATTTTATTTCCACATTAGGTGTTTGCGAATTGTTAATGAATCCTCACACGTCTATAAAACGAATAACAGTTAAGTACATTATTGTGTATTTCTGTTTCTTTATTTCTTGCTAAACAAGCTAAACCCGTCTTGTTTGTTATAAAAAAGAAAAATCAAGAAAATAAAACATAAGTGGAATATCAGGTTATCCACTATTTTTAGATTTTCCCATCCCAATAATGTGGGTACTTATCATTTTAAAACCGCAATGCTTTATTTTCATATACAGGTGAGCAAAATTAAGTCACAATAGAAAATAATTTATGTTATAGCAAAATTCCACCTTTCTAATGCCAAGATATTATCTAATATTTACGATATATATTTTATATTTGACGTTACGTTGTCAAACAAATTTCACAATTTTACAATTCAAATCTAGCCACCTGCTGCAGTCTTACATTGCGCCACTAATTGAATATTTTGAAAGAAAAGCGCCGTTAGTCGGCCCCACGTGGACGCGTCTTCCCCACGTGTCTATTTTAGAAGCGTATGCCAGGACCGGACATTTTCCCATTAGCACAAATTGAATTAAATTAATCAAATGAAACGCCGGAAGGGGAATTGGCGAATTAACCCTCCCTACATCCGCCATAAACTGAGCCTACTTTGACTCACCTGTCCATTTGCGTGTCTTTGCTGATGAAGCCATCCTGAAAAGGGATTCACACACTTTCGCACAGATTTTTTTTCTCTTTACTAAACTAAGTTAAATCTCTCACTAGGTAAATAAATTATGAATATTTTTTTTTTCTAATTAAATTAAATTAAAAAAAAAAATGTTAAACACCCGGTCATTTATTCTTTAGTTGCACGTCTAATCTCTTCAAGTTGTATACGCATACTCGTGTTTAACAAAACGGCGCTTAACAATTTTTACCCGCCTTTGCTATACCTCCAGCGACGTCACTCACCGGTTTATCCCCTCCAAAAGATTCGACATCACGCGATTGTGGACGAAAAACGAATTATTTATGAGTTTGCGGCTTAATTAATTACATGTGATCTGTCTTAAGTTGTATTGATCAATTTACGGTGACTTGAGAGTATCGTAAATAACGAAATTTGATAACGATAACAAGGATAATAAAGGGGATAAACAATTTTTGATTAATTTCTTCAAATTTATCACAGTGCAAGTACGTCATATACGAATTAAAATTAGAAATTGGAATCTAGAGTATATCTAATTAATTTCACAGAAAAAAATTACATGTAATAAAGGGTCTATTATGAAGGTTAAATAACGACAGGATTAAAATTTGCTATCTATTACAAATATTTTGATCAAAATATGTATTTTGTAAACGTAATGAATTTATTGAAGATACGTCAAATAAAAATTGTTAACAGAAGAAAACAAACAAGATAAAAATAAATGAAATAGCTAGTAATAAATAAAAAATATTCTACTACACATGTTTTTATTTATAATTATATATTGTTGATCAATTTTTGCAATTAACGTCTTTATTTCAAACACTCAAGCATTATTGCAAGCAACCAACAATACAGCATTGAGTCGCATTAGTTTTGAATGGCGCTGTACCAGCTGATCAATCCGTCAAGAATCGCTCGCTGTGTTACCGACTCGGCCCAAATGTCAAAAAGTGAACAATGGCGTCTAATTTCAGTGTGCCCGTTGTTATATGCCGCGTTCCCTGTTGATTTCAGATGCCTCACCGTTGGCCCCGTCTTAGTTTTCGTGTTTACTTTCGAACATTAAGCAAGTGAGAGCCCAATTTCAGCCCAGCATCGAGATCAAGTGAGTATTCTTTATCGAAACCTCCTCCAGGAATAACAATGGCCGCCGGGGGCACGTTGTAGCTTCACTCGAGGCTTGATTTGCGGTTCCGTAGGATGTCGGAGGGAGGGAACGGGCCGGAGGCCCAGCCCAGCAGTCCCGACAAGGCCCCCTCGAGAGTAGTGGTGAGCGAGTCGGAGATGGGGGCCCTCAGCGCCGCGGAGTGGTGCGGCCGGTGGAGGCAGCAGGACGCGTACATCGCGGCCCTGGAACGGCGCCTGGCGCAGCAGGAAGGTACTTAGTTCAGTTACTCTAGTGTGTCTTTCAGTGCCACCACAAAAAATCATTTTTCTCTCTATGTCTGTTTTGTTGATTGAGTGGTGCAGTGTAGTGTCGTGCATCAGTGAAGTGATAATGCGTCGTGATTGCAGGCGAACTAGAGGACCTGCGCCAGACCACGGACAAGACGAGAAACCAACTCAACGAGTCCCAGCAACGGGAACGGGTGTTGATGAGACGCTTGACTGCCAAAGAGCAGGAGACGCAGGACTACGTGGTCAGTAATCATTTTATTTGCCACTCAAATGTTCTTAAGCGCGGGGTGCCGGAGTGCAGACGAGCTTTTCTGAGTGGAAGTCAAAGTGACACAGTGAAGTGTTTGCACGGTTTTGGCCACTAGACGAAAACAATGACAAGGTGTCCACAATTGACCAATAACTTTGATTTGAACGCTGAACTTACAAAAACTCACTTTTCTTTAACTAGGATTTTTAAATTAACGCCACACTATGCTTAGTTTAGGCTTTGTTTACTTGGTTTAAGTAAACAATCAACAAAAAAATGACTAGTTTTTATTTGTGTTCTGTCTGTTTATCTATTGTATTGTTGAATGATACGCTTGGTTTTAAGGAATGTTTGATAATTTACTATCTTGGATCAATATCGTTTAACCGTACTGTGAAATATCAAACGATTTGCTTTCTTTCGTCAGGAATATCTGATCAAATCACTTCGTTCCTTCATTTATTTCATTGACTGTTTTGGACTTCAGCCAACCAAAAAACTGAAATAAATTGTTGCCTCTGATCAGATATTTAGACAACAAGAAATTTACTATTGATTGTGTTTATTTAATATGGAGAATATCTACTTTTACAAAGTTTAAAGTATTGTTCAAGTATTTATTACGAGGTTGCAAAATTATATAAATGATGAGGTAGAATCAAAAAGATTGTTTTAGGAAAAAAAGACAATTTTAGGTTCAAATAACGAAATATGAGTATTTTTTACCAATTAATTGTTCTTGTTATGAGCTGATTTAATAATTACTATAAAGCGAAAGCAACTGAAAAATGATTGTATTAATTGTCATGTTTCTATATTTTTTCGATAAATAATAATTCTGAATAGTATTTTATTTAATGCTAAAATTATTGTACTTAATCTATCGGTTTTAGTGATTTTTGTGTAAAGAAATTTGAGTGTTTTTTCATTTTTTCATCATTTAAATACTTTTTTGTTGAAATGAAATCCATATGATGTGGCTGAAATTTGTTAAATTTTGAATGTAATAATAAAGTCAAAACCCACTTAAAATCTGATCACAGTTTATTACATGAGGAATCAGCAAACTATAGTTTCAGTGCAATAAGAATTAACACAATTTTGAAAAATTTTAAACAACTAATAGAATTTTTACATTTTTTTGAAGGTGAAAAGGAATTGTCTAGTGAAGCTGGAACAATCCTGGCGTGGTGTCAAATTCTTTTTTGTTCATAAGCAGTCAAATAATCATTTCATAGTTTCAGTTCCCTAAAATGTTTCAAAGTAATTAAATAAATATTAAAGACACGGAAACTTTTTTATACTGAAGAAACCTTTTGTCAGCGGCAAACAATTTTATGAATTAATACTTTTCCCGAACTTCCTATTATAAAACGGTTTTTGGTGTTGTAATAATCGTATTATGAACGTAACACAAAAAAATGTTAGAAAACAATTATTATATAATACAAATTGGAATCAATAGTTCTAGTTGATAATTCTTTTTCACATTCACTTGAATTTCGTAAATAACTCAAGAACACGAAAATTGACACACGAAAAGTTGTTTGTTGTCTTCATCAACCATTTATGGTAATGTGTTGTATAGTTGTGATTGTTCATGAATTATACCATTGATACTTTATTGATTCTTATCAAATACCAATGATTTGAATCAAATATTAAAATTAAAAGTATACAATCATGTATGTACTTATTGAAAATAGTTTCTTTTTTTTTATTGTTTTGAGATAAACGTTAAGGCGTCAGCGATTGTGATGTAATTTATTTGTAAATTGTTTTGAATTAGCTAATAAAATTTTTCGATTCGTAGATTAAATCAGATTTACTTATTGAAATTTTGATTTAATCTTTCAGCACATGTAATAATCTACGTGGCAAGTTTTGTCTTTAAATAATTTCCTATTTTTCCTATCATTGTGCGTTTATACTAGTTTTATTAAAATCACCAGAACCGCTATGTTGAATAAAATGGTTAACATTGTTTGTAGTGTATTTTTTAAAGAAATATGGAAGACAATAATGGTATTGTGATAGACACCTTGTTGTTGTAGGAAAACAAAATAACCCACTCAGAAAAACCGCCGTTTTTAGGTCATTTTGCTTCGTTTCAATTTCTTGTCAGTATTAAAAATTGTTTTTGCTACAGTGCCAATTGAACGAACTGAAAAGTGCCCAAGCCCCCTCAGCCCTTCGTTCAACTCTGCTCGATCCTGCCGTGAACTGCATCCTCCAGCAGTTGAAAACCGAACTCCAATCCACCCGTTCCGAGCTTGAAGACACCAAGAACGAACTGACAGCGTGGAAATTCACCCCCGACTCGAACACCGGCAAACGCCTGATGGCGAAATGCCGCCTCCTGTACCAGGAGAACGAGGAACTCGGCAAGATCACGAGCTCCGGCCGCATAGCGAAACTCGAGAGCGACTTGGCGTTGCAGAAGAGCTTCTCCGAAGAGGTGAGACAGAGCCAGAACGAGCTGGACGCGTTCCTGGCCGACCTGGACGAGGACGTCGAGGGCATGCAGAGCACGATCTTGTTCCTCCAGACGGAGCTGCGAAAGACGAAAGAGAGCGCGCAGGTGCTGCAGAAGGAGAACAGTACGCTCAAGTTGGCCAATGGGAGGTCGAACGGTGACAGTGTGTGTGAACAGGAACGGACGGACTCGGACTCCGAGGCGGAGAGGACTACATGTGTGAAACGCGTTCGAAGGTCGTCCGTCCTCAGTATCGACTATAACGAGGACGACGCCCTCGTCATCAGCACGAACGGTGACGTTGCGATGGCCTCTGATCCAGAATAGTGGTTCCTACGAGGCATTCGCCCACGCCAGCGTCGTGCATCGGGTGGAAGGTGCACGACGCCGGGAGTGAGTGAGCTGAGATTAACCCAACTATAACACTTATAAACTGACGAACAGTATATTCAAATTGTATATAAATATACTAGCCTAATGTGGTTGTTTGAAATTGTGAACTTCAATCATTATTACAAAATTGTGTTAATCACTGCAGTGCAGTTGCAGATTTTTTTCTAAGTAGTTTTGGCAACAATGCAATATTTTATTATTTTTCCTATCTCCCATTCTGTTATCAAGGTGCGCTTTCTTTTATCCATTTGTTCGCGTTTTATTCAAAAGTTCATTTGATCGACTCTGTTTTAAATTTGTCAAATTGTATAATTTTTTAACGTTTTTATGTTGAAAGTTGTATTTATAAAATAAAACAAAAATTATATCACTTATTATTGACCACAGTGTTTTACTATCACAAGGGGACGAAATTTAAAGTTGCCGCTTTTGGAAAAATGTCACCAACCAAAAATCACTAGATCAGTGCTACCAACATAAAACGATCGTAGTGGCGTCGTTTTTCTAATTTTCCGTAATTACACTTTTCTTGCGAAGTTTTCATGTTTCTGTGATAACAAAGTGAAAGATTTTAATTTGTGTCTTGTCGCGACTATACAGGAGTTTAAAATAGCCAAAAATGTGAGTATTAACATTTGAGGTTAAGTCTGTTGTGCGGAAGCCGCTTTCAGCGATTTTCTTATAAATTCGAAAGAAATGCACACACCAACCGTCTGCAAACACTTGTCGGTGTCTGTTTTGCTTCCCATAACCCTTATTTGTGTCTAGTTTTAGGTGGTTAATTATTAGTTGATTTTTATCTTAAGTAAATTACAATACAATTAAATCCTTTATCAAGGCCATTTAGGGGGGTGGATGAGTTTTTACAATAGGCCGGTTTCAAATTGTATTTTTTATTTTTCTTAAAAAAATCGTGTTTATTCTCAGGGCGAAAATAGGTTCTGATACAGAAAAAGACGACAAAGATAAGAAGAAAGAACGTGGTAGAGAACGTAAACGTAAAAGTGAATCTGGTTCTAGCAGCAGCGATAGTAGCAGAAGGTAACCCCACACGAGATTGAATTAAAAATTCTTAAGATTTTGAAAATTTTACTCTAATACACTTAATTTAGTTCTTCCGACAGCAGCTCGTCTAGCTCTCGCTCTTCAAGCAGTTCCAGTTCCGGTAGCAGTTCTCGTTCGAGTAGTTCTTCCTCGGAGTCTTCAAGCTCAAGCAGTGACAAAGATCGCAGCCGTCCTAAACGCCGCTCGCGCTCCACCAGCAAACCCACCCGTCGCAGCAAAGAACGCAAAGACAAAGACAAGGAGAAGGAAAAAGAAAAGGACGTGAAGAAAGACGACAAAGAGGACGTCAAAGACAAAGATGTCAACAATCGCAAATCCCCGGCTAAAGATGACAAAAACCACACCCGTGGCAAATCCCGCTCGCGTTCTCATTCAGACCGTCGCAAAAGGCGTCGCCGGTCCCCCACGCCACGCCCCACGAAAATCCACATTGGTCGTTTAACACGGACTATCAATAGGGAGCATATTATGGAAATTTTCGGGACGTATGGACCAATCAAACACGTGGATTTCCCCAAAGACCACATCCATCCACATTTGGGACGGGGCTTCTGCTACGTGGAGTTCACCAATGCGGATGATGCTGAAAACGCGATGAAACATATGGATGGAGGGCAGATTGATGGGCAAGAGATTACAGCGGCACCGGTGCTTGTGCCCAAGCCGAGACCGCCGCCTATGAGACGAAGCCCCCCTCCGATGCATATGAGGAGGCCACCGCCCCATAGACGGACTCCGCCCAGGTTCAGAAGGCGGAGTCCTATGAGACCCATGAGGAGGAGTCCACCGAGGAGGAGGCCGCATTCGAGAAGTCCACCCCCGAGGCGCAGGAAACACAGTCGCTCGAGTTCTAGTAGTTCCAGATGATTTTTTCTATTTTAATTTTTTAAGATTATGGATTGTGTGAAAAGGAATAAAGTATGGCACAAAATTAGTGTATTTAATTTCAGAGTAACCAACCTTTAATTAGGTATAAGATTTAATTATTCAAAATGAAAAGTGGGGTACTCAAAAATTGAAGTTATTTATTTGTTATGTTGGTATTACATAACCTATATTTTTCAATTAAAATTGGTATAAAATTGGATGTAAAATGTTGAAATAAGTGATGTCTGCATCAAATAATAATGACGAAAACCTACAAAACCTCCTATCTGAAGTAATAACTTTTATATTTTGACATAACCTCAAATTTTAACTTTTGCTTTAGGTCGAATCCGCAATATCTAACAATGACCTTGCCACCTTAAAACATCTTTTTTCACACCCACTTGACTATAAGACCCTCCAGGATGAAAATGGTAACAACCCTCTGCACTTATCCATAATTCACGAAAAGTATTATTCCCATCATAGTACAACAAATTTCCTACCAAATCCTTATTTCAGGAACGCAATTTTTGATTACTTGCTTGATAAATTCGACTTGGAGGCACAAAACCGAACGGGCCACACAGTCCTATCCTTGTCTCTTCTTGACCACAGCGACGTTTTAATAAATGAGTACTTTGCACTGAAATTGATCAGAAAGGGGGCCAACATTAATGTGTTTTTTTGCGACAATAACACAATACTACACTTGGCACTCCAACGACACTATTTCCAGGTCGCGCAATTCGTTATTGAGAAAGGGGCCGATATAAATGCTCAGAACGACGCGGGGTGTACCCCCTTACACATGCTTTTTCACGTGAAGACTGACCCTGAGGGCGTGATTGAGGGAGTGGGGCTGATGTTATATCACGGGGCCGATGCGAGCATCCGTGATCACAATGGGAATATCCCTTTTGAACTTGCGGTCATTTATGACCGTTACATAAGAACCGCCCAAGAAAACCTTTTCTTTTATACTTTTGACTCGAACTCAAGTTACGAAATGTCTGATGAAGTGTTGTGTGAGTTGTTGGAGTCGAAATCGCCGTTGTTTTTCCAAATTGTTGATTACGTGTCCGAAGTTGTTTTTGTCTCAGGTGTGACTTTCTCGCCGTTTCTTTTATTTCGGATTGATCCGAATTTTCTTAAAGTTGTAATAGAGAAGTTTGACTATGTTGTCAAAAAAATCCTTGCATGTCCGCCTGACTATGTCACTTGGTTTCGTTTCAGGATTGAGTCGTTGCAAAATTGGGAAATTCTACTCGGGAGTCACTTGGCGTCAGACACTGTTGAATTTATTGGCAGGTTTAGTATTAGTTGGTTAGTAAAAAAATTAGATGAGGATCAAGTGTCCCCAAAAGTAGTTACAGGATTTTTATTTTACTTGCTTTCGTACGGTTTGGAGGTTTCAGAAATCGATGTACAGGCTGTGTACAAAAAATATGGTTACTGTGATCTTTTTAAGACTTTTTTACACTTGGATATCAAGAAAAGCAAATTAATGAACACTGATATACTCCCCAAAATAATTTACGACATTAATTTAGACTTGGAAACGTTCCTAACAGACCCCCACGATTTTTCAATTAATGCAATAGAAAAATTATTAGATTATTATGCCCACCCAAAATTGAGACAATTTTGCAATAAACTGGGAGTCAAGAAACTTGTAATAAAATCAGACAGTTTACCCAAAGTGCCCCTCCTAGTCGAGCTTGCGAGAGACACTTTGCGCATATATTTGATTAAAAAGTACAGTTTGAAATACCCCAAACAATTTTTCACTCTAATAAAACATCTTCCAATTAGTCACATCCACGAAAAAATCCTGTCATTTGAAACAAAATTGTATTATTAATTTTTTAAATAAAACCACGAAACTGTTATAAACTTTTATTCAACCATTATTATCACAGATACAAGGGTAAAAACTAAATGAGTACATCCCAAAATACATAAATTCGGAATGTTTTTTGTTTAAGTGCACTTGACTTTGGCCTGAATCAATCTCGTAATTTATTCAAATTGATATTAATTTTTGAAGTTTCTTCAGGAGAGTGAGCAAATAATAGATGCAGTTGTCTTAACACTTGTAACTTGTATAAAACTTTCTGCTTTCGGGTGGAATTCCGCCATTCGCGCAATGTTGTCCCAATTATGGTCAGTGTTTCCATACGGAGTGAGGTGACACATCTGGTTTTCTCATCGGGGAACTACAAGGTTTAGTAAGGTGTTGGTCACTAGATGGCGCTGTTTGAACTCACCTTCGTTTGGCAACAAATACACCACATGGTTTTGAGTTTGAGAATGGGGTCGATATTTGTTAGAATAAATCCCAGGAGATTTGGCACCGTTATTGGGAGATTCCTAGGAAAAGCGCGAGATTCCGATTTTCTAAGAAAAAAAAAACAATTTGGCATCATTATGAGTGTGTTTTTTTACCTAATAGACGGAAAAAATAGAATTGTTGGAAAGCTCTCCATAGTGTACTCCCATGGCAGTAAATTAGAATCGCCGTCTATTCTTACAAAAGTTATATCTTTAACAGGAGTCAATAATTTTGCTGCAGTCAAAAACATGTAGGCAAAACCGTTACAAAATGCACATTGTTTAGAATAATAATAAACAATAACCACCTAAAAACATTATTTCCAATGATATTAAACTTAAATTAAAACACTAACTTTGTTAGGTTGAAGCACAGTTGGTAAAAAATCATCACTTGTCAGTTCCCTCACACAAAACTGACTTGACTTTGAACAATTCAAGTGAGGATAAACATGATCAGACTTCGCCTTCATGTGCACTTTTGACTGTAGAGATCTTGGTAAAGTCTTTTGTGTGAAATTAAAAATAAAGAAACGTAAATTTCCGCTATTTACATTTTCAGTCATGACGTAATGAGTCTCCATCTAGAAAAAATATTTTCATTAATTAAAAATTTTCATTAAAATTCCCACCTTTTCATTAACAATAACAACCCCACTTTTCTGCCTCTCCCTTTTCCCCAAATCCACCCCCAACCTTTCCGCAAATTGATAAAACCTCAAACTATCAATCGCTACGAATTTCAAGCTTGAATTGCTTGCACAAGCCGCCCCTGTGATATTAACCCCGCTTTCGAGGCCACGTGACTCAAAAACAACCGGACTGTGCTTTTGCGCCAATAGAAAATCACGACACCGGTTTACAGTTTTCTGTATTGTCGGCTTACTCGTCAGGACCGTACTTTCGCAAAATTTATTCAAAGACTCTTTGTCCACACAATTACAAATATCCGTATTGTTCGTCCAAATATTGGGTAAATTCGTAATCACAGTTGGGAGGTGACATTTTTGTGTCATTTTTTGATAATTCCTGCGATTTCCTTAAAAAATAAATTGGTTAAAAATTAATTGTAAATATTGAAACTTACTCAATCGTGATTCAGTTATAAGTTTTTGTCGTATAGTGAGGTTAGAATTGTTGGCACAATTGTAGTAGTCATAAGCGGCTTCGCGCAACTGAAATAATTGGGGTCAAGAAAGTATATAACAAAAATAAAAGTTACCATATCAAAGTGGTCGATTTGTTGCAAAAGAGGATTTTTAGGGGTGAATAAAATAAGGGTGGGTCCGGGTTGCATGAAATTTGAGAGACTTAAGCTTTTCATTCCAGTTGGGGCCGCCCAATTGGTGATTTGATACGAATTTTTCAAAATCCAGGATGTTAGTGACTCAATGGTCAGTTCGCCTTCAAAATCCTTGAAAATTTTATTTGGTAAAAAGATATTAAAAATGTTTTAAACCTACAATTGTTCCATTCCAAATATGGAGGCTTATGGAGGGCTCAACGTCAGATTTCTGAGGTATGACTGCAAAAATCGAATCCCTGAAGGGGTCCCTTTCTAGGAACCTCAGCGCAGTTGAATAAAAAACGGCATATTCATAACTGCCTGGCAAAACATTTATTTTAGCCAACACGACAGTCTGTAAATTAATAGATTAAGTTTTAGTGTCGTAGTAATTCTTCCAGACTTACGTCATGTTTGCCTATGAGTTCATCAATTGTTTCAGGACGCAAAATAGGCTTGCAGACATTTTGCAAAAATTTGATTATGTGGAAGGCCTCCAAAGGCCCGTTATATTGAATCCCCCTCCCGTGTGTGGGGTAAGCGATCAAAACGGGCCACTTGTACACCTTGCTATACTGCCTCTTGCACTCGCTGCCTGGCTGCCAGCAGTTAACCGCGACAAAAGCCACCTCATTTTGCATATAATGCGCGGCGATTTCCAGCTGTTTGCGCGCCGTCTGACTCTCGGCGTCCCACGGGGCGTAAAACATGACAAACGCGATGTCAGACGAGCGCGCATCTTCGATTGCTTCCGTGATTTGCCCCCGGTACCAATCCGTCACTATGGAATTCTGAGGGAAAAAGGGATACGCAGCTGGACTTTTGCTCACTTTCGGGGGAGTCCTGCAAAGCCACTTGAAGACGTGTCAGACACCACGTAGCGACTTACTCGTTAGTTAAGGCAGCGTAAGCCACTGCGATGATAATCATGATCAAGAATTCCTTGCACAAGTTTAACATTTTGAGGGTTATCGTGGGACGGTTTGTCGGGTCTGCCACGCTTGCTTCGGGATTATCGGTGTCGCTATCTGAGTCTGTCGCGACAGCGTCGGGGTCATTATTGTGAGTGGTCCCTGGGTCAGGTGTTGGCGAGGTGTTATAGTCCGACTCTTGTACCGGAGATGACATACCCAGTTGACCTCATACCATTGAACCTTGCTCGATTTCACGTAAATTTGCCGCGGACTCAGTGAATTTTGCAATTTTGGTTACATGAAAAAGCGGAATTTTACGAAATTTGACATCGTGTCAGCCCACGTCAGCTGTCACCCACACTCACGAAATCCGACAACTGCGAATTACTTAACAATGACAGCAAGCTCTACCAACCTAACGAAACTAAAACTTGACGACTTGCATAGTAAAGTCTTAGAATTCATAATTTAATACGGAGCACAACTATTTTAAATTTTTTTTAAATAAAATAAAGTTACTAAACCTTATTCACCCCTCGCCCCAAAAAAGTCACCGAATCATGTCATAATTTTTTATTGATTAAAAAATTTTACACCTCACAAAACATACACCTATTCCTGTCTATCTGCATGCAACTGTGTTGCCCCTAACCTCGCCGGATCCTGGCTGGGATAATGCACGCCACTTTTCGAGGGCCCCACTGCCGCCTCACTTGTGACAGTACTGCTAGAAGCCGCTGTTGGGACATACGCCGACAACTGTGGCGGATTAAAGAAGAATGGAGGCATCGGCGGGGGGCCAAACATCGGTGGAACAATAAGAGACGGCGGTGGTGGCATATTCGGCAACGGAATGTGTCCCGGTTCAAGATTAAAGAAATTGTTACTCAATTCTGGTAAAGCCCCCGGAAGGCCCGGGACTGGTTCATAAGCCTCAAGTCCGGGGTTTATCGCTGGGCCTGCACGTCCTTGCGATCGCCCCCATTTGATAGTGAGTCGGCGGCCACCCAAAATCAACTTATTGAAAGTTTTTTCAGCAGCGGTTTCAGCTGCAGCTCTAGTGGTGTACTGAACGAAAGCGCACTGCTGTTTCGGAACTAAACTAACAGAACGAATTTCGCCATATTGGTAGAAGTGGTCCCTGATGTCTTGTTCAGTGAGAGTACCGAGATTGCCAATATATAAAGTTGTGATGGTTTTGTCTTCAGGGGGCGGTAAAGCCGGCATTGCGGCAGCCCTCTTCAATAATTTATCAGCAACAGGATCGTTCACCCCATAGTAACGGTCTTTTATATTTTGATCAGCAAGTGGGTCTTCAGGATCTGTGGGTTTCTCATGCCTGTAAGGACACTCCTCGCCTCTTCTGCACTCCCCTTTCACCCAAAACGAACACACATGAGGCCTGTTTCGTTTATAATAAGGGGCTGTCCGCGCCAAACGCATTAATAAGTCATTTGGTTCGTTCAATTTGTTTGACAAAACGCCAGAATCTGAGCGTTGCAACTGCAAAAACACAATTAGAGTCACTTTTAGACAAAATAAGACAAACCTCGCGCTCCATATTCTGGATATAATACTCCTTATTGACGTCGCTTTTTGGAAGATCATCCTTGAGTTTGAGAGCAGCGTCGCGGACTTGTATCGGGAGCCCATATTCCAAGTCCAGGAGACACGTCTGACACACATTTTTCAACTTGCTGCAAGTCTGGCAAACTTCCGTTTTCTTGAAACGCATACGAGCACCGGGACACCAACGAAACACTGTAAAAGGGCGCGCGCAGATTTTACATTCCTTGCCGTATTTTTCTTTAGTCTGGAATCACAAGTGGTAAACTAATTTACAAGCATTGAGGACATAGATACCAACCATGCGAATATAAGGGTTGTCCCCGAGGCAGGTTTGACACAAAATCGGGAAATCCTAAAGTGAGGTTAGGTCAGTTTTTATGTTTGGTCTCAGTTTAGCACTTACCGCATCCTCCCAGTTCTGCCGATTATACGTGTTTGTTGTTTTTGACGTTGCCATTTTCGTTTCACACCATTTACGAGTGAGTTTTAGTTGAATTAATAAAAAAATGAAAATAAGCTTTGTTGACAGCTCGTTGACACCAGTGACGTGATTGCATTGTTGCCAACTTACAAATGGGAGGGGACGTCCAGTGGCGCAGGCGTCTTTGGGCGAGTGGTGATCATTTATATCCTTTTATGGCAAACATAACCGCTAGATAATAAATAGGTTTCGCGAAATTTGTGAAATAAAATTATTATTTGCCAAGTGTTCATAATCTGTACGAGTGCCAAGAGATTTTCTCGTAAACTGCCAACATTTACAGTGTAAACTTTTATACTTATTTCTCCGTGTTCCACTTGAGGATTCTTACCATTTCCGGCAAACCGGATCAGTTTTCACACAAAAAAAAAAAAACAGGAAAATGTCATTTGCATCAAGTAAGTGTGACCGTTTTTGTTTTATTTGACAAGTTGCAATAATCAAGCTACCCTGTCTGTGTAATTCCGGTAATTGATTTTAATTTGCAATGGAATTTATCTTATCTTTTCCAGAGAGTATTTACGCGACTTTACCGCGGACCCAACGGGGCCAACCCTTAGTGTTGGGAGGGGATCCCAAAGGAAAGAATTTTCTCTACACCAATGGCAATTCTGTAATCATTCGCAACATCCAAGTAAGAACCTTCCATTTTCTTTCTTAAAACACTCAAATTGTTTTATTACAGAATCCTGCTATTGCCGACGTCTATACGGAACATTCTTGTCCGGTAAACGTCGCTAAATACTCCCCTAGTGGCTTCTACATCGCTTCTGGAGGTTAGTTTAAACACCCTGCAGCCCCCCAAAACTCCCATTTGTATAATTTTTAGACCAATCTGGCAAAGTTAGAATCTGGGATACAGTAAACAAGGAGCACATCCTCAAAAATGAGTTCCATCCAATTGGGGGCCCCATTAAAGACATTGCTTGGTCCCCCGATAACCAACGCATGGTCGTGGTTGGTGAAGGCCGGGAACGTTTCGGCCATGTCTTCATGTCGGAAACCGGAACTTCCGTCGGCGAAATCTCAGGCCAATCAAAACCCATTAATTCTTGCGATTTCAAACCCACAAGACCCTTCAGAATCATCACGGGGTCTGAAGACAACACCATTGCGGTTTTTGAGGGGCCCCCATTTAAGTTCAAAATGACCAAACAGGTGAGATAGCCATGACTCTAGTCTAGTCCAAATCACGTGACTGTTTTCTAGGAGCACAGCAGGTTTGTGCAAGCCGTGCGTTACTCGCCCACCGGTAATTTATTCGCATCGGCTGGGTTTGATGGTAAAGTGTTTTTGTATGATGGGACGTCCTCTGATTTGGTGGGGGAAATCGGGAGCCCCGCCCACAGCGGGGGCGTATATGGGGTTAGTTGGAGTCCCGATGGTAAACAATTGCTCACAGCGAGTGGGGACAAAACTGCCAAATTGTGGGATGTGGAGACGAGACAGGTCGTTTCCGAATTTGTCTTAGGCTCGACGGTTGAGGATCAACAGGTGGGTTAAGCCACGCCCTGTGTCGTTCTCGTTTAATTTGATTTGTAGGTTTCGTGTTTGTGGCAAAACGAGTACTTGCTCACGGTTTCTCTGAGCGGATTTATAAATTATTTGGATGTGAATAACCCCACGAAGCCACTCCGGGTGGTCAAGGGTCACAATAAACCCATAACTGTCTTAGAATTGAGCGAAGACCGTGGTACGATCTTTACCGGTTCTCATGATGGTAATGTGACCCGATGGAATGCCGGGAGTGGGGAGAACGACCGGGTGGAAGGGGTAGGTCATGGTAACCAAATCAATGGTATGAGGGTACACGGTGGTACTTTGTACACTTGTGGCATCGACGATTCTTTGAAACAAATCGACATTGAGGGTAACACTTATAAAGGCCAAGATTTGAAACTGGGGTCGCAACCTCGCGGAATGGACATCTTGAAAGAGCAAAATGTCGTAGTCACGGCGAGTGTCAACGAAATAACCGTCTCTCAAGATAACAGAAAAGCGAGCACATTGAAGGTTCATTGAAACTATATTGTGTTTTATTCTATTGCTGAAATAATTGCAGGTGTCTTTTGAACCATCAAGTGTAAGCGTTTCGCCGAGAGGTCATGTGGCTATAGGTGGCGCTATGGACAATAAGGTTCATTTATACGAACTGAAAGGCACAGAATTGGTACCACTTCAAGAATTGGATCATTTGGGTGCCGTGACTGATGTTGCCTATTCGCCAGATGATAAATATCTAGTGGCTTGTGATGCCCATAGAAAAGTCGTACTGTACAGTGTTCCTGAATACAAGGTAAATTTTAGGCTTTTTCTAGACGAAATTGATATTTGAAAATTTTTCCATGCATTCGGAATCAGAATGTAAGTAAGGTTGCCTTGCAATTCGCTAAACCAGTCATATTAATAACTTATTAAACCACTGAATTCCAGTGTTTATTAGACTCGGAATTTGTATTTCTAATTCAATCAATTTGAATTGTTAAAAACTTGACTTTTGCTTTACACTTGCGCATATTTTATCACAATTATTGTTAGCTCGCCACCAATCAAGAATGGGGTTTCCACAATGCACGCGTCAACAGCGTTGCTTGGTCTCCCGACTCTTTGCTAGTCGCTAGTGGTAGTTTGGACACGAGTATCATTATCTGGTCTGTAGAAAAGCCCGCCAAACACATTATAATCAAAAGTAAGTAGTTTGCGTTTTCTTGAGGATAAAAAATTGACTGGTTGTTTGCAGACGCTCATGCTCAAAGTCAAGTGACCAGATTAGCCTGGCTCGATAACCAGACTTTGGTCTCAGTGGGTCAAGATTGTAACACGAAATTGTGGACCATCACCAAATTCTAATTTTCTGAAAATAACGTTAATTTTTTTGCATTTAACGTGTGATTTTTTTGGTAAAGCTTTTTTATTTATTACAGTAGGGTGATGCAGTGGCGGGCCTAAACGGATTTCCGGAAACTGACTTGTCAATTTTCTATATTAATAATGTAAATATTTAAATTATCGAGGAGTGTTAAGATGAATGAAAATTCTGCTAAATCATCCAAATACTATAATCTAAAAAGTATTATTTTTGTTTATATTGAATAAATAGCTGTCTGATTAAGTTCAAGTAATTTTTTTGCGTTTCCGAGTGTGGTACTCCTCGGGGTGTCTATACGAGACGTGTTTTCGTAAAGCATCTCTACTTCGTGAGACGTGGGGGCAAGACTGACAAGCGTGGTAGGCCTCTTCGTGGGTCTCCATGTGTACTCGCAGATTGTACTGATTACTTAGGTATTTACCACATAAAAAGCATTTACAAGTTTCAGACAAGTCTTTAGGATGCTTTTTATTTGGGAGAGAATAGTTATCGTCTTCTTCGTCATTTTTTAGGAAAGTATCCACAAAATCTAAAAAATTTATGTAGAGACAACAAAAGAAGAGTTTGAACTTACGTTCAGCCGGTTTTTCCCACAGTGGAGGAGTCGAAATTTCGCTTTGAATGGTTTTATGTGCATTATCGGTTGTGTTTGGTCTTTTTTCGCTTGAAATGTCGTTTTGTAGGGGTTTATCAGGTACCTAATAAAATATAGCTATATTACTGGTTGCATAACCACTCAAGATTGTCACATGAGAGGTGAGCCAATTGGAGTTTGTGTGCCAAGTAATTAGGGCTTTGTTCCGCACTAACCTTCATATCACATAATCCTTGTATTTTGAGGAGCTTCGCCAAGGAAAGCAACCCTGGCAGCTGTTCTTTAGAGACCACGCATTGCCCCCTATATATGAAAGCCAAAACGGCTTTAATATCACTCATGGAGACATTATGTAGCACTATGACCGGATGTTGCGTGTCCCCCATTTCCTACAAGTGGGCGGAATGTCGTTTAAAAATAGCCAAAAATTGCGCGATTTCGCGAAAACTCACCTGGAACAGCTGGAAAAAATACACACTACACATTGCTAACACTAGTTTGTGCGCTTTAACGGTATGAGAGTCGACCGAGATGGTGACATCGGTCAAAACGTCGTTTTCGAGGAAAGTGGCGAGGTTTTTAAGGAGGGTGAATTCTTGGTAATGCCATCGCAGGACGAATTGCTCGCTCATTGTGACGCGTCAGCTTGGATAGGAAAAATCGCAGGAACTGGCCCACAAACCCAGAATTTATCCAGCTTGGCTATTTTTAAAACTACTGGAGAACAAAACAGGTGCCAGCAAATTTGCTAACCTTTCAAACCGACTTTTTCAAACGGAAATAACACGACTAGTATTATTGTTATTTGGGTTTATTTTTACGTAGCAGGGTCGAGCAGCTTATCAAAATTAAAACCGATTTTTACAAATGGATGAAGTGTTTTCATATTGGTAGGTATATTATTAGATGCATAAAATTAATCATTACTCGTTAGCTAATGAATTGAAATTACTTAAAACAAAAAATACATTAAATGCACAGATGGCAACAATGATTTCCTTAATTTACAAAACAGGATGGGGAATAATTACGACTGACACAAAGTTGCGTCGATCTGTGTTAAAGAGGGCGCAATCATCTTCAATTTTCTCCTATACATCGGATCCTTCTCGACCGGATTTCTCTCTAGATACACTGTTGCCAACTTTTTATTCTTTGACAAATTCTCAACGGTCGCCCAATCAGAAACTTGATTATCATTCATCCAAAACTCTTCCAAATCGTCCAAATGATCGATGTTTTCAATCAACTTAATTTTATTTTTCGCCAAATCCAAAGTCTGAAGAAGCGTATTATGTGTGAGGTTTTCAATTTTATGAATTCCGTTCTCAGAAATGTACAACTCGGTTAGTTGTGTGAGTTTATCTAAATTCTCGATATGCGTTATTCTGTTGCTTTGAAGGCTCAGACACGTCACATTGGTCAAGGAGTCTAAGTTTTTTATTTTTGATATTTTATTTTTGCCCAAGTAGAGATGAGTCAAGGCCGGCATATCTTCCAGATTCTCTATCTCCTGCAATTAAGACGATTTTTAGAATCAAAGTTACAAATGACCCCACCACTAAGTCTTAACTAATAAAAAATATACGTACTCAAGCAAAAATTAATGATTGCGTAGTGCTAAAATAAACGTTATCGGAAGATAAGAAGAAAAATAAATCAGCAGATTATTTAGATTAAAAACTAAATCAAAAACATATTTTTTGTAATTTTTAAGACAACCAGAAATATGTACAGTTTTAAGTACATACAAACCCTTAGTCCTTACCTTAACCACCCTAAATACGCATATAGTGGTGGGGTAAAATCATTATTTTGCCCTTCTTTTCTTTTCTCGCACTTACCCTCAACTTGTTGTCCCCCAACTCCAGCATTGTTAACTTCTTCAAATGTTTCACATTTTTGATTTTGCTGATTTTGTTTGATGACAGGAAGAGTTTTTCCAAATTGTGCAAATTCTCCAGTCCTTCAATCTCCTTAATACGATTAAATGAGAGATCTAGAATCCTTTTAAAGCAAAAGTTGCGCAACATTCTCAAATGTGTCACTTCTTACTCTAGATTGACCAAACATCCCAAATTTTCCATTTTAACGATCTGATTATCATACAATTCCAATTCGCGGAGTGTCACTAACGTGTCCAAATTCTCAATTTTTGTGATCAAATTCCACCTCAAGAAGAGACGTTCAATTTGTGTTAGGGGCTCAAGGTTTTCAAGCTTACTGACTCTACCATGGTTTAAGTCCAGCTCAAGAGTGTCGGGGTCTATTATCATTATTTCATTAGTAGTGGCCCCTTTTTCCTTATTGTCTTTCGAAGTGGACGTTTCTGGTGCTAATAATTAGAAATTAATGTTGACGAATTTAAAGAATTATCTTACCGGGCTCGGGGGAACTCTCATTGTTTTGTTGCGGAGACGGCATTTTCACAGTTTACGGTCACGGATATTTCAGTTTATCAGAAATTAATTAAATGACTAATTTGAAGGCGGATGACAGCAAACATTAGTGACGTTTGAGTTTGACATCCAACAAGTATAGACAACCTAAGAAATGACATTTGTGTTAGTAACAGTTCATTTTTACTCATATTTACAAGTCGATTAGAATAAAATATACTGTAATTAGATAAAAATATGTATATACAAAATCAACAATTTATTTTAAAACAAAATTACTACAACCAGTAGTACACCATCTATGTCATGTTGGCAACCCTAAAACACAATTGTGTGGTGTCATCTGTCAAAAGTCAATTGTTATGAAAATTGGATGAAACGAAAATAATTCATTATTTGTGCCAAAGTAATTAAATAGCAACGATGTCGGAGAAGAGCATCGCAATCCGCACCCAATTGTCCAACATAATCGCATCCGGAGGCTCCCACAAAGATCAAGCCGAAAAGTGAGGTTATGTATGGAAAAATTCAAAATTATATTTTAATTTTAACAGATATCGGGTGATTCTTGAGAATATTCTTGCCGGTTCTGGCTCCGACCTCACCGAAGGCTTGCAAATATTTATTGAAGCAAGTCCGTAACCCCCACATCCCCAAACTTATTTTAACTCAAGTCCTTTCAGTTGTCAATGAAAACGTTAGTTTGGTCATCTCGCGACAAATTCTGACCGAAATAAGTTCGCACTTGATGAAACTCCCCGACGATGTCTCGAAAACCGTATCACATTTCATGCTTGAGAAGGTCCAACCGCGTGTTATTTCATTTGAGGAGCAAGTAGCGAGCATTCGCCAACATTTGGCCGATATCTACGAACGCAATAACATGTGGCGCGAAGCGGCTGCCGTCCTCGTGGGAATCCCGCTCGAAACCGGCCAAAAACAGTACACCGTTGATTACAAACTTGAAACGTATTTAAAAATCGCACGGTTGTATCTTGAAGACGACGATCCAGTCCAAGCTGAAGCCTTCATCAACAGGGCTTCTCTCCTCCAGGCCGAATCTCGCAACGAGCAACTCCAAATCTACTACAAAGTTTGCTATGCTAGAGTTTTGGATTATCGCCGGAAGTTTATTGAAGCGGCCCAGAGATACAATGAGTTGTCTTATAGAACGATTGTTCACGAAGATGAACGCATGACAGCCCTTCGTAATGCTCTAGTTTGCACTGTTTTGGCTTCAGCGGGACAGCAAAGGTCGCGCATGTTGGCCACACTGTTCAAAGATGAAAGGTGTCAACAGTTGCCAGCAGTGGCAATTTTGGAAAAAATGTACCTTGAGAGGATCATCAGGAGGTCGGAGTTGAGGGATTTTGAGGCCTTGTTGCAAGTAAGTGTACAACCGATGAACGAATTAATGACGCAGTATTGTTGGTTGCGTAACAAAGGGCGCGTTTTTAAACTTTTAACAATCAAAAACACTACTCCAATAAAAGATGAAAAAAATGTTTTTCTTATTTTGACGAAGATTAAACAATATTCAGAAACAATATGTACAACTGTTCCTTTAATTCTTTTGTAAAACTTTGATCAATTAGTCCAAGAAAACAGTGTGATAGATCGATTTAAAAATTTATAGGGTTATGGGGGGTACATTAAGCTGTAAAAACATTAGTCTCCCCATCAATATTAGTAAATCCGCGGTAAATTTATTAAAACAACGCAAAAAGTTACTTTTTTTCTCTTTAAATCGGAGTAGGAGTGAAAAAAATCGTTAAAGGATCTTGTAAGATATTTATTTAAGTTTTTGATATCACTCTCTGTGCAATTATTGGTTGCTGAGATATTGATGGTCAAAGACAAAAGGATCCTTTTTTATTAAAAGTCAGATATCTCAGCGAAAAACTGACGTAAAGAGAAAATGAAAAATGCATATTAAAGGTGAATGAACATGCTATCGGGCTCATGTTTTGACTTAACTAAAAAAAAAGAATTGCTTCATAAAGGTAGCACAAAAATATTTTGCCAAAAGATCTCAAAACTAAAAACTTAAAGCTTCAAAACGGTTTTTTTAAATCTAGATACGACCATTTTTCGATGAGATACAAACTTTCAAAAATCACTAAAAAATTTAGGAAATTTTTTTGTTCCTTTAATTTTTTGGGGTACTGTATTTTAGCTGTATTCAAGTCAGTTTGACCTGATAAATATTTTGGCAAGTGTTACCGTTCCATACTGGATGATCATAATGTTTAACTATGAATTTACTTTCTGAAAAAAATTAATTGATACAAGTTTTTTAAATGATGATCATTTTTTTCGACTGATTTAATTATTTCAAGTAAATTTAAAATTTTATAAAAACACGCTTAAATTCATACTTTGTGGTCAGCCTGTATAATGTCACAATAGTTCTCAGAGGAAAAATTTAAATGTGTATAAAGTTATTTATGATATTTCCTCCTTACAAATGCCGATGAACTCTGCTGTTTAATTTAAGCAAAGCTGTGTTAAATTTAACCTTTTAGTTCTTGAATAGAATTTCTAGCAATAAAAACTGTTGTAATTAGAAAATACAAACTATTACTATTTCACAACTACATCAATTTGACATGTATTTAGTTATATTATTTTGTTGTTAATTTCACAAGACCAGTCAAGAAATCTAAATTAATTCGTATAATTTCCACACAAATAGATATTTTAATCACTTTTTGCATTTTGTCCAAGTTAAAATAATATGCGTCGAGACGGATTCCAAAAATCTAATAATAAACTGATAAAAACATCTCACGAGGTTATTTACGTGTGAAAATAAAAAAATATGTGATGCAACGAAGCATCTAATTGAGGATAATCCTATTTATTATTTAATAACGTCACACTTTGTAAACACAAATGTGATGCATCAATTGTTTGCTAGAAGCTTATCGTAATTGCAGGTTTTTATCGCACTTCATTGTAATTAACGGGATTTTACTAACGTTTTATTATCACAGTATTACAAAGGTTAAGCGACCTCTTAAATGTGACGAAACTGAATAAAAAAAATCATCATTGTCGATTTATTGCAGTGACTTTACTTAAATTTAATTGTAGCCTCACCAAAAGGCTAGCACCATCGATGGGTCAACTATTCTGGATCGCGCTGTCATCGAACACAATCTCCTGTCTGCTAGTAAGCTCTACAATAATATCAGTTTCGAGGAATTAGGAGCATTGCTCGAGATCCACCCTTCCAAAGCGGAAAAAATCGCAAGTCAGATGATAACTGAAGGCCGCATGAACGGTTACATCGACCAAATCGATTC